AAAACCCTAGATCAGAATTCTTAAAGGCGGCTGCTTTAAGCTCAAAGTTTTGTTTTTTCTTCTTTGTCAGAAACAAAATGATGAAATCTCATTTGGGTTTCCTCTGTTTCTTCATCTCTTTACTGGGTTTTGTTGATTTCTCAGTTTCTCAGAGTGGTGTCGATGATTCGACTATGATAGCACTCAAATCGAGTCTGAATCTCACATCAGACGTCGATTGGTCTAACCCTAATCCTTGTAAATGGGTTGCTGTTGAATGCGATGGAAGTAACCGTGTTACTAAGATTCAGCTTAAACAAAAAGGGATTCGCGGAACTCTTCCTCCTGATCTTCAGAATCTCTCTGAATTGGTTGTTCTCGAGCTCTTTCTCAACCGAATCTCTGGTCCGATTCCTGATCTCTCGGGTCTTTCTCGTTTACAGACGCTTAATCTACACGACAATCTCTTTACTTCGGTTCCAAAGAACCTCTTCGCCGGTATGAATTCTCTTCAACAAGTGTATCTCGAGAACAATCCGTTCACTCCTTGGCAAATTCCGGAGACCATTAAGGAAGCTACGTCCCTGCAGAATCTAACACTCTCCAATTGCAGCATTTTCGGGAAGATCCCAGATTTCTTCGGTTCTCAGTCACTTCCAAGCTTGACGAATCTGAAATTGTCTCAGAATAATTTACAGGGAGAGCTACCCCTGAGTTTTGCTGGTACTTCGCTCCAGTCTCTGTTCTTGAACGGTCAAGTGGGTGACACGAGGCTTAACGGATCCATCTCGATATTGAGTAACATGACTTCCCTCGTTGAGGTTTCTCTTCAAGGAAATGAATTCTCAGGTCCAATTCCTGATCTCTCTGGTCTACTATCTCTCCGTGTGTTTAATGTTAGAGAGAATCAGCTCACTGGTGTGGTGCCTCAGTCTTTGATTCGTCTGGATTCACTTACTACTGTGAATTTAACCAATAATTTGCTTCAAGGACCGACTCCGTTGTTCGGTAAATCTGTTGCTGCTGATATCTTCAACAAGACGAATAGTTTTTGTACTGATACCCCTGGTGTTCCGTGTGACCCTGGTGTCGATATTTTGCTCTCTGTAGCTGAATCATTTGGATATCCAGTGAAGCTTGCGAGGAGTTGGAAAGGTAACAATCCGTGTGTTAATTGGGTTGGGATTACTTGTTCGGGAAGTAACATTACGGTGGTTAATCTGAGGAAACAGGATCTCTCGGGTACCATTTCCCCGAGTTTAGCCAAGCTTACTTCACTGGAGACAATCAATCTTTCTGATAATCAACTCTCCGGGCCTATACCTACTGAGCTTACAACGTTGCCTAAGCTTAGGACACTTGATGTGTCTAACAACGATATTTTTGGAAAACAGCCAAAGTTCCGGGACACTGTGAATGTGGTGATTGACGGGAACGCTAACATCGGGAAGGATGGACCTAGCAGACCGAGTGGTTCTCCTGACACTTCAACAGATGGTAAACCTTCAGGAGGAACTGGCGGCAGTGAAACTTCTAAGAAATCAAGCAATGTCAAGATCATTGTTCCTGTGGTTGGTGGAGTTGTTGGTGCATTGTGTCTGGTTGGGCTCGGGGTGTGTCTCTACGCGAAGAAAAGGAAGCGACCCGCTAGAGTTCAGAGTCCATCCAGCCACATGGTGATTCATCCGCATCATTCGGGTGACAACGATGACATTAAACTCACTGTTGCAGCTTCTAGTCTTAACAGCGGCGGAGGAAGTGATAGCTACAGTCACAGCGGAAGTGCGGCAAGCGATATTCACGTTGTGGAAGCTGGGAACTTGGTTATATCGATACAGGTCTTGAGGAATGTGACGAATAACTTCAGCGAAGAGAATATTCTCGGGAGAGGTGGTTTCGGGACAGTTTACAAAGGTGAACTCCACGATGGAACGAAAATAGCCGTGAAGAGAATGGAGTCTTCGGTTGTGAGTGACAAGGGACTTGCTGAGTTCAAATCTGAGATCACTGTTCTGACTAAAATGCGTCATCGTCATCTCGTTGCGCTTCTCGGGTACTGCCTTGATGGGAGCGAGAGACTACTTGTCTATGAGTACATGCCACAGGGGACACTGAGTGAGCATTTGTTTCATTGGAAAGAGCAAGGACTAAAACCACTAGACTGGACTAGACGGCTAGCGATTGCATTGGATGTAGCTCGAGGTGTCGAGTATCTGCATACACTTGCACATCAGAGCTTCATCCATAGGGATCTAAAGCCATCAAACATCCTTCTTGGTGATGATATGCGCGCTAAAGTCTCTGACTTTGGGTTAGTCCGTTTAGCCCCTGATGGCAAATACTCCATTGAGACTCGAGTCGCTGGGACTTTCGGATACCTTGCCCCAGAATATGCAGGTTTGCAGTCTCTTTGAACTTACCCTAATATGTTACAGTTTCATCCTTCCAATTGGTTTTCACTTTGCCCAAATGTCAAAGTTTCATGCTTACGCCGTTTTGCACTTAACCCAAAGTTTCATGATTCAATCATTTTGCATTTACCCGATTGTTAAAGTTTCATCCTTTGATCGTTTTGCAATTGTTCTGTATTTATTTTGGCAGTGACGGGAAGAGTGACCACGAAAGTAGACATTTTCAGCCTTGGGGTCATACTTATGGAGCTAATCACTGGTCGTAAAGCCCTAGATGAGACGCAACCCGAAGACAGCGTCCATCTAGTAACATGGTTCCGCCGGATAGCAGCCAGCAAAGACGAAAATGCCTTCAAAAATGCAATCGACCCAAACATCAGCCTCGATGATGACACCGTAGCCAGTATAGAAAAAGTCTGGGAGCTTGCTGGTCATTGCTGTGCCCGTGAGCCTTACCAAAGACCAGACATGGCTCACATCGTGAACGTCCTTTCTTCACTCACCGTCCAATGGAAACCCACTGAGACCGACCCCGATGACGTCTACGGGATAGACTACGATATGCCGCTTCCACAAGTGCTCAAGAAATGGCAAGCTTTCGAGGGACTTAGCCAGACCGCAGATGACTCGGGATCTTCGTCCTCGGCTTATGGAAGCAAAGACAATACGCAGACAAGTATCCCAACTCGTCCATCTGGATTTGCTGACTCATTCACCTCTGTGGATGGACGTTGAAGAAATCAAGATTGCGTTCTTCCGAAATCCTTGGAACTGTTAAAAAGCGTTTTAGTAGAAGAAGAAGATGAAGCAATGTGTGATAAATCTCTCTTTTTTTCTTTATCTTTTTCTCTGAAGCATTATACTTAATGACTTCGTTTTTATTTACTGCAAACTTTTGGTTAGTGTATTTATCTATATCTATCTATCTATCTACTTTGTAGTGTTGATGCAAAGATGAGAAGTGAGTCTTACAAATATGAACTTCTTGCCTCCTCCTATCTTTGAGTGTCTTCCACGTTTTTACAATTCATACGTTAATATTTGATCAATCGTTGCAGAAAAATCAATTCTACAAATACAAAGATAACAAATACTCATTATGTTACGACTATCTTCATAATCTTCTAAGAGTGTTCCACAACGGCTGTGCAGATCAGATCCTCCCCCTCATGGATGAAGAAGCTACGACTATCCTCACGCCCCTTACCACGCCACTGATCTTTAAATTGCTCCAGATTCGTTTTCAACTTATCAAAGTGGCTCAATTCAGAGAATCTATCGAAAGAACTCCACGAAATTCATTACGATATGTTGTCTTAATCTTGAAACTTTGATGTAATCGCTTTCGTTTTAACTTTTCACCCCTCGAGAGCTTCTAACATGATAGCAGACTCACTAGCTAAAGAAGCCTTGTGTAGTAATACGCTAGCTTCTAACTAATGGAACAAAACTATCTTAAAAAACAGCCATGTCATAGCTATATACTACTTGAGCAATAAGAGGATGATCATGTCCATGTCATAGCTCAACCACCATTGTTTCTTTCCATATAGTTCTCACATACGAAAATCGCATTTAAGATTTCATAAAAATATATTCGGCGAAATCACATTTTCATAACATAAAAATTGGTATACCATTCGAATTTAATTTTATAATTCATGTGTGGGTTATACAAATTATCTCGAATATTAATTTTTGTACTGTAGAAACATCTTCCTTAGATTAGAGTTTTAGAATAATTTTGTTTATTTGTTTGTTTCGTACTTCATCTACTCTCTTTTTTTTAATTAAAATAGATATAATGTATATAGAAACGTTACTATAGTCGTTATATTATGTACAAACGAGAAAATATTTCTTAGGATGATATCTTCGGGATATAATTTCACCAATCCCTTAAATGTCTATGAAATTTGACTAAAGATATTATTATGTATGATCGGTTTAATATCGACATCTAATATTCCTATCTATGTAATGTAATATGTGGAGAATGATATAATTCTAAAAACGAAAAAGCAAAGTTTCCTTGGAAATTTCGGAGTAAATATAGGAAGCCTTGCTTACCTTTAATCGCACCATCCTAAATATTTATATAAAGACTACACCTTTTAGCCCCTCAAAGTCAAATTATGTCCACTCATTTTAAATTATTAACAATTTGCATTGTATTATTAATGACCTCATTAGTGGATTATATCATATCAAATGCTTATTAAAACATACTTAATTGTGTATTTATCTCATAATAGAGAGAGTCACACAGAGATGCATGTTTCTTCGTATTCCCGCCTGGCTAAGTCCCATTTTAGGTATAAAAAGAGAGAGAGGCCACAGTTATTGTTGACTCTGTGTGACTTTTGATTTTTCCCTTATTTTTTTACACTAATTAACAAAAGTTGTTATTTATTTTCCTTTTCAAAATTTATTATTCCTCACAAAAAAAAAACACAATATTCAATTAATTGATACATTCCTAATATTGTTTTTTTTGGTATATATTTCTTTTTAATATTTCATTTGCCTTTTGCTCTCTACTATTATTTAGTTATTTATTCACACACTACAATACAATATCACTTCTCTCTTCTTCTTCTTCATTTTTATTTCTTTGCTTTTCGCTTTCTTTCTTCTCCTTCTTCTTCCCCAAGAACCCTAAATATATTTTCATATTTTCTGGATGATTGTGATCGGAGGAATTTAAACATCTGCTCATCTGATCGATCAGAGGAACTCAGTTTCTCATAGCCAAAATGAATCTGGTACAATCCTTTTCTTATATACATGTTTTTCTGATAAATTTCATTATGTATTCCCCTGTTTTAAATTTGTTCATATCAGTTTCATCATAAATCTTAGCAAATCTAAATAAGTTTCAAAATTTCTGCATTTTTTTTTAAAAAACTTTGTAAATAAATCTCTTATATATCAAAAAACAACAAAATTTCTGAAGAATTTATCCTTTTAAATTCAAATTTATGATTTATTCATATAAACTCATTACAAATTTCGATATAAAGAGTCAAATTTCTGCAGATTCATAATCTTTAAAAAAAGTAAATTTTAATTCAAAAAATAAACAAAACCTACAAATAAAAGTCAATAAAGTTTCAAATTTCTACAGATTTTATTTTCTCTTTTCCGGATTATATTCAACTCTCTTTTCTTTTTTTTTTCAGTTTGTGATTATAAATTTCAAATCAAAGTTTTTGCAAATATTATTGAAAAAATGGGTTATGTTATGGCAGAGTGAGAAGAGAAGAAGTGAAGAAGAAGAAGAGGATTGGATAGAAAGGCTGCTGAAGTCAGAGTTCTTTGGGATATGTATGGATCATAAGTATCTAAGGAAGAACGAGAAGAATGTGTTTTGCATTGACTGTAACGTGGAGATATGTAGACATTGTTGCACAAGTTCAGAAGCTGCTCATCTCCTCCATCGTCGTCTCCAGATCTGCAAATACGTTTATCAAGATGTTCTTCGTCTCCTCGATATCCAACACTACTTCGACTGTTCCGAGATTCAGGTTTCTTTTCTTCTTCTAATTAATTATTTTTAATAAAATAATAATCATTTGATTCTTTAATTCTTGTTTTAGAGACTATAAATTCCTAATTTGTATTTTTAATTTATTGCATTGAATGACAATACTTTGTTTTTGGTTATGGGGAAAAGACATATAAAATAAACGGAGAAAAGGCAATACATTTGAATTCAAGGCCACAAGCAAAAGATGCAAGACCTTCTACAAAATCCAAGAATGGAGCTTCTTGTGTCACTTGCAAAAGATATATTCAAGATCGTCCTAATCGCTTTTGCTCCATCTCCTGCAAGGTATATAAAGTTTATTTCTCTAACTTTTTTTTATTATATATATTGGTTGTTATCTATACTCTATAGCAAAGTTAAATAATGTTTTATATAGTAATCTTGAAATACTAGAAAAAAGTTAGCACTTTAGTAGATGAAGGAATGCATACATTGTTGACATATATAACATATAGGAGAACTATGGATGATTTGAATTTTTACACACCTCCAACAGTGTAAAATTGTAATGTTCACACTCAAATGTAGTCATATTTTTTTAAGTTGGTAGATGCTAAATGTTTATCAAGAAGTGTTTTATTTTTATTATATTTGTTTTAAAATAATTTCTCGACACGTAATTTACATTAACAAGTAGTATCATGTATGATAAAAATTACTAGTTTGGAGGTTTTTTTTTTTTAAATTAAGTGAGTTGTATACTTGTATTGTATCCATGCCAAACATGCTTGAAAACGTTATATTTGCATTTTATCGTTTGAAGTCAAATATAAAAATGTCTCTTTTTATTGATTTTAGAGCATGATTTAATATAATTTTTTTAATTTTGTTTTGTAGCTTGCAACTCCTTCAAAAAAGCATAAATTTTGTTTTTCTCCAAGATTGGAACAAAGTGTTTTGGAGAAGGAGATTTCTAATCAAGAGGGAAGCTTAGAAGAAAAAAAATCGTGCACATCATCGTCTCTCACCGATGTTTCAGAAGATTCAGAAATTTTGTTGAGTAATTTTTCATTGAGACCACTCATGAGAATACTCAAGAGAAAAGGAATTTCTCGAAGATCTCCTCTTTATTGATTTCTTTTTTTTTTCTCCATCAAAAGTGACAATACATTATGTGTATTTTATATTTGCAACAAAAAAAAAATATTATATTGGATATTAATATTATGTTTAAAAGTTAATAAGTTTTGAAGAGGAAGTATAGTCATGGGAGTGGCCTAGTTTTTGTAAAGAGTTAAAAAGATTTTATGTATTACAGAAATGTATTCTATACATTTTACTTTTGATCTAGTGTTACAGAAAATAAACAAATAGGTGATGTGTGTAAGAGTTGATTTATTTTATTATTCAACATGGAGAAAAGAGAGATATGGGCCCAAAAAGTTTTGGTGTTCATGAGATTGTGTTGATTCACTGGAACCCACAGATTTAACCAAAATATAAAATAAGAGAAAAGTAATGCAAATATAATGCAATATTCTCAACACTTTTTGGTATAATTTGATAGATACAGCAGAGGTTCCAAAGGAGAAATGTTCGAGATCACATTCGTCGTATAATTTTTCTACGGATTATCAAAGTTGCACAGTCTAAAACTAATAATACTTTGTGATGCAGCATCAACTACTCACTCATGTGTAACACGAATCTAGCAAATTTTATAATTTTTTGTAAGTATTGTTTTACGACCGTTTCAACGAATTTTTTCCAACGTTCACATCGACCATCGCTTATTAGTCACCCATCATTCCCAATACTTTCGTCCACCGTCCACAAAAGTGGTACGTATATAAGCAAAGAGGAAAATTTATAAAATGTTGCCGCATAATTATATTGTCTTGTTCCAATATGTAGAAATTATATAATCAATTATGAGAAAACTATTTTTTGGGGATATTTGTAATTTCATTTTGGTTTAAATTTTATGAATTTATCAAAAAAAAAATTCTATTAATTATATTTGAGATTTTTTTTTTGTTCTATTTGTTTCTTAGTATTTGTTAAAAATTATGTATTTTAGCAAAAAGAATATAAATAAAAACAGTTTTAAGTGTTGGAAAATGACAGATCGTAACATACTAATATTTAAGTGAGAATGACATATCAAAAAAAAAAGAGTAATGGAAAATGCCAAAATCCATAATAATTGGTAGAAAATATCATTAAAAAAAAAAATAATAATAACATCTTCAAAAGTTGGGGTATCTTATTTTGAAAGTGTTAGTTGATGGGTGAAATAATCCAAGGTTTGTTTGTAGTCAAACTTATCTACCCAAATCGCAAACTAAATCAACCAAAATTACTTTAATTCTAGTTTTAATTTTCAAATTATTTGGTTTGCTAAACTCTCCATGAAACAATTGTTTTGGTTTGTACTGTTTTATGTAATGGTTTGTTTGTCTTCTTTAAACTAGCGACTTTACAATAATATGTCAATTTGTAACTATGCAAATTGTAACCATGGCCCGTAATTATATCATCGTAGTAACTTCGTAACTTTCCGATTTTTTGTTTTTTTTAGTGATTGTGTCATATGTTCCTTCGAAAAAGAAAGAGAATAATCGTGTCTATGGTATATATCAATTTGTAGACAAGAGAATGTGTATCTTACAAAAGTTATTGGTGTGTATCAGAAATAACATATGTAAATATATTTTTTAGCAAAAACTTACTAATATGTATATGCGTACATTATATAACAAATGATCATGACAATGGGTCTACGCCAACTTGTTTTATAATATTTAGTATATCAAACAACCTTTTGCTGTCAATTAAAATAGGATTACTCCTCACTATCATTACTTCTCTTTATTATGATTTTATATTAAAGATATACCAATCTATATAATAATTCATAACTAAAAAGATATATCACGATCATGATACATAATATAGATTTAACTCTATATTATGGCATCCTATCACTATTATATGAAATTTAACGACAACATAAAGATTTTTTTCACGAATTATGTAACTTGTAATTTGTAAATACCACCATAAACACAACTATTTCATGCTTTAACTTATACTGTATATAGTCAATATATCCATGTATATACAATTTCTATTCATTTAATTACAAACCTACAAAAGTAAAACTCTAATAAATAGATGAAGGTACGTATATATATTTTTTGTAAAAACAAATTCTCAACATATACTTAATGTTTAAAACATTCTTATTAATCATCTCAGTTAGAAATAATAAAACAATTAAAGAAAAAAAAATGAATATTGACCACCTGGGGCACACTAGTCAACAACATGGCGCGTTTTGTTGGGACAGAGACCTTTGTCGCAATCTTTGTCTCGAACAAAAATAAGATTAAACAAAATCAAAACTACAATAATATTCTAAACCGGACTCCAACAAAAATAAAAATCTTTTAATCATATAGCATTCTCTCGTCTTATGGCTGGATGGATCACTGTTATTGATAATTATTGACTCACACATTATTATTTAAAGAAAATCAAATGATAGAAAAAGAAGAATGATGGTCATAATGTTTTTGGCAGAAAAATCCACTTTCGAAAATTAGAATATCAAAATAGAAGTGAAAGTAATGCAAAAAAAATAAAATTAATTGGGTATGATTATGGCAGACAAAAAGGTGAAGAATAAAAGAGGAATGTTGTGAGCCAATTGGAGAGGATATGACAGATTTAACTGAGGAAGGAGACGAGAGATTTGAGCAGTAGAGAATAATGATAATAATAATAATGCATGTGCTTCTTTAATCTCAATGTTACGCATGTTCCACATGTCATGTAATAACACACATCTCTCTCCCACAAACATCCTCACTAGTCACACTACCATAACAACAACAGCGACGTACGAGTCCAAAACAAAATGTCATGTTAAAACTAACTACGTTGTGTATAGAAGCTTTCTTAAACTAGTGGTTAACAATTAATATTAATTATTGTCGATTACTAGACTAAAGCTTATCTGAAGTCCTTTATTGTGCTGCAATGCAATGTGGTAAGAGCTAGGGCCTAGGGTATATATAAATCTATCTACCGTGAGCGTACATATATAGTTCATGAAGAATCGTGTATCGTTATCGTAAATATTTATGGTGCATGTAGAAAGCTTTAGATTCATTACTTGCTGTATTTTCAAATGATGTAAGAGATAAGTGTCAATAGTTGTGAAGAGATCACTCAAAGTCTTGTAGTGAACCGCCCTTCATACCTTAACTCCGTGCCTATGTCCAGGCCAAGAGGCAAGGAAGATGAAAACATATTGCACCTGGCCTTTTCTTTATTGCTACTTTGGGGACCATTGATGTCTAATAGTGTGATGTGAAATGGTTGATTAGGCCTCTTTTTGTAAAAATGCAATTATAATGTGATCTTCATATTTGTATTAACATAATTAATGGATCTCTACACAGTTCTTCGAATCATTGCGTGTAGAACATCTTAAGGAGGGAGCTAGTCAGGATTAATTATGCACATTGTTGGATCTTTATAATACGATTGTTTTGATAAGTAGAGCGCAATTAAATAGAAAATGTTGGCATTCCAATTTAGGTTTAACATTTTAGAAAATAAAAGCTAAGTGGTTACGAAAGGCCAAGCCGATATCAATAATTACGAATGTTCGTTCTAGCCTTCTAGTTCTAGGTAAACCGTCCTCTTCATTGTCTTACAGCCAAATCTCCACTAAGGGAACTTCTATGACAATGATCCTATCTTCGATTACTAAGACACAAAACTTCTTGTTGATGGATATGTTAAAATTGAAAACATGTACCAAAAAGCCTAATTCAGCCTAAACCTAAACACTGAGGCACAAAAGATGAAACGTTTTAAGAGAATCGAATGGAATATCTAATTGTACATACATGATAGTAAACAGGTTATATTGCGTATTTATATTAACTTTGTAAGATTGACTTGTATTTTTTAAATTTGAATGGTAAAATTGCAAAAAATGGTAATTTCGATGGTTTATTTGCACAAAACCTATAGTTTTATCACCTACTTTGATGAATTACCTTTTCAATTTTGTTAAGATTCCACCAATATAATAATGTTGTTTTAAATGGTTTCTAAAGCCTAAAATCTAATTATCTTTGATAAATTTTTTTTCTTTTTTCTTTTTTGTAGGCGATAAATTTGATTTGTTTGTGTAGTTTATCATTCATTGATATACATTTGAGTAATGTGCATGAACCAGTATTTTCATTAGTATTTGCTCCGTCGATGATGATTTTTTAAAATTGAGTTATTTTCTACAATGAATAACGAGTTGGTTCATCTCAAATTAATATATGTTTCGAGCATAATAATTGGAAAGGCATGTATTACTCATGCAGATAATTTTTTAGGAAAAATTTGTTTGTTTTAATTAAATTCGGTCTATATATGTTATATGTATGTCTATGGTTGGTAGTTTTCACTTTTCACCATAATGATGTTGATGGACGATATACATACACAATGGATTCTCCAAACACAAGCTAACTTTTTGCGCAAGCTAGGGCTAGCGGATGCTGAAGTTGCGTTTTTTGGATCTCGAAACCCCACTACACCTGTAACAGAGAAACACTGAGGGAACAGCTTCGTCGTCTTCAATGGAATAGCAGAGTGTGTGGTGCCAAACCTTGCAAACATCACAAGCCACCATTCTCTCACCATCATCATCCATAGCTCCGCATTTGCAGTCAACGGTCCAGTCATCAAAACCACCTTCATACCTTAACTCAGTGCATATGTCCAGACCAAACCCTTTCACCAGAAACTCTGTCTTACCAAGTGATTCTAGACGCAAGTCGTCCTCTAGCTTCTCAAGATACCTGTTTCTTATCTCCAACACTTCAAATGTCTCCATTATGCAGTAAGTATCCCTCAGAGCTTTCTCTGCTGCAGATTTCAGTTCTCTGATGGTTGCGTTTCCAGGAACAACCACGAGTTCACCAGGGGGTAATAACCGGGTGAAGTCTCTGAGTATTTCTTCATGATTAGGCAGAACTTGGCAGCTAACTGTTAAAGGATTTTGTTCCTTGTAAGACCATTCTTTTACAAAGCTCTTGCAGTTCAAGATAACCTGAGACGCTTCACTGTATATATCTGGATGTAGATAAGTTAACAAAAGATTCTGATAGAGATAGAGAATGTCATCGTACGGACTCAGTCCAGGAGTAGTGGATGTCCATTTCCTGATTTTCTGCGGTTTCAGTTTCCTTTTCTTTTTCCGTTCTTGCTCAGCAACACGGGAATTGATTGTCCGGAGAGCAAACTGTAACATTCGGGTTTTCGAGTTTGTGAACCTCTGCACTATCTGGTCACCTATTAGAATTTTGTCAATGTGTTTAAGCAAGAAATCAATCAATCCTGTATCACCAATGCTATTTCTAACAGCTTCCCGAAGCTCTTGGCGAGGTATAGTGCTGTTTCGCTCTTTAAACACTTTGAGAACCGCTTTGGCTGCATCTTTTAACCTCCTTGCATGCCATCTAGAATTTTCTCCCCTGCCCAAATCATCAAATGAGTAATATGTAGGGGTTTTTATTTCCGCCATTGTTATTTCATGATCATCAAGAACAGTGTCTCTGCCAGATTCATATCCGCTATCGTCTGATGATTCCTGATCAGGGCATGTGCAAACCTCAGTGTTCTCATCAGCTCCAAGAATAGGATGTGAAACAGGATCTAAAGACATTGCAACTAGTGTCATTGCAGTCTTTCTATGAATGGGAGCTTTTAATATGAAAGCAAGCATGAACTGAAGCAAATCAGAGAGAGTGGCCAATGGGGTTTGAGTAGATCCTCTGTAGAAATCGATGATCATCTTCATCACTCTCCCTTTACTTGTTCCCGAAAAGTCTTCTATAATCTTGTCAACTTCTATAGAGCTAAGAGTGAGAATAGCTCGCCAATACTGATCTTTTCTTACCCCAAAGCTTCCATGAGACAACATATAATCCCATTTCCCAAACCATGGTCGACCATATGCAACACCATGGAGCAGCCTCAGATCAATAGATCCCTTCTTGGATGTATCATCCAAAGAGATCTTCCTGCAGCCAAAGACATAACCATTGATAACTTCATAAACACTACTCAGGTTATAGCATACTGCAGCTAGGATCCGAAACAAGAAATTTTTTGGCTTCAATTAAAATACTCAAATTCAATCTTAGTTTACCATTAAAACCCCAAAAAAACAAACAAACTTTTACGTAATTCAATCTCAAAATCACTAAACAAGATAGTTCATGTCCATTTAATGAGATAATCTCTCTCCTATAATTAGCAAAAATCTAATCATGCCTCCCAACTTATATACTATTGACTTTGAGTTTCTCTAACAATCAATGTCACAATCTATTTTTATAATTGGGAAAGATTTATTCTGTCGTCCCAACTTACTATCGATATAGATTCATAACCGATATGGAATTCCTAACATCAATGTCACAAATCTTTCTTAAGATGTAGCAAAAGTATCACATGATTAATGTAGTGTACCTAACATCAATCTCCCATAATTAGTAAAAAGCAAGCAGCTTTTGTACAGATATAAGTTTGGTTTGGTACCTAGTACGAAGAGTAGTGCAAAGACGATCCCAAAAGTCCATGACTTGATCACCAGAGAGATCATCATCAGCGTTGATACAGAGCAAATGACCAAACCCATTGCAATGGATCAAACCATGCATCAGATGTGAAGAAAGCTTCAAGCTTTGTGTAGTCAATGGATTGTTCCATTCATCACTCTTTGGGATTATCATATGATATCTCCTCTTCGATACATAGTGATGACCCCAACCTATACACGTAAAACACAAATCAAAATCAGAATTAAAAACACTCCCAAAAAAAAAAAAAAAAAAAAACCTAGATTTGATGATATATATACCAACGCATCTACAGAAATCGCAAAGAGGGTTTGGAGAGGAATCAGAGATTTGTTCATCGACGATGTAAAGAGGGAAGACGACGCCGGTTGCTTGGCTGGCAAGGAAGATACAAGAGACGGTGTTGCCATCGATGGTGTAATCTTCAATCTCGGCGTATTCACGGAGGAAAGATCTGATGTTGTCGCGGAAAGTGGCGGCGAGGTTGAGGAATGGGGAAGAAGAAGAGGAGGAGGTGGTGGTGGTGGTGGCATGATCGTTAATAAAGAGGAATTTGGGGGTTTTTGTCCTCTCCGTGCAAGCGTCGTATACGGTTATCGCCATGACTGAAAAGGACTGCGAGAGAAGAGAGAAAGAGTCTGTTTGTTTTATCATTGGGATCACGTGACATCGGCCTGATTTGTTGTTACTGGAATCTCATTGATTGTGAATTGACGATTTCGCCCTTTTGGCGGCTATCTTGTACTACTGGTTTAATAAGGAAGAATGAGAAATTCCGGTTTACTTGATTTGTGGCTCGGTTCAATTTGGTTTTGCCGCAGTTGTTCTATTCATTTTTCTAAAGATATTTGTTTCATCTCTTTGTCGTCTGAATTGTTATGAAATCTCTAGTGTTGTAATCAGTTTAATTTCATTTGGATTTGAGTATATATGTAAATCCATTACTGCAATTATTGGTCAAAACTATTGGCAATCAGTTTAATTTCATTTGATGAAAGTATCAGATAATGGATGAGATAATATGACATCTAGCGATTAAGGATTAAAACCTATTCATATCATTTTCACCCACCAAAACATTATTATAAATTTACAATCCCACAAGTCAAAAAGTGAAAAAAACTTATATAGGTTTTATTCTTGAACTAAAATATAGAAAGAGAGAGGACATATATACTAAAGATCTTAAAGACATGTACATTACATTTTACATCCTTGAGGTCCTCCAAAGAAGATAGCTCTAGACCACTCACCAACATCTATTAACTTCTCAACCTTATAACAACTTGGATCACTTTCATCTATTTTTAAAGCTGAAGCTGTTGGAATCAAAGCTTGTCTTGATTTAGTATCGATCATCACTTGAATATCATTCACATAAGCTGCTTTCTTATAACCCTCTTGTGGAAAATGTCCACTTCCCATGGTTGGACATGGACTCCTCTCTCTCACTAAACATAAAATTTCTCCTCCCCAGTCCACTACACTTGCTCCATTAGCTAAACCCTCATCTTTGAACAATGATCTAGGCCAGTATCCTATTGGCTCGTCACGTAGCATAAACCACCAATTTCTTGTAAGATGATCCTGATATATATTGACTTCTAGATGATATTGTTCACCACCATATATAGAAACTGGTTGGGCGAGGACACCAACTGCGAATTTAGAGCTCACATGTATAAATCCAGGGCATTGTAAATTAAAGCAACCAGTCTGATTACTTCCATCTGCCTGTTTAAATCAAAGATTTAAGTATTTAGTTAATATAAATATGTAGATCATTTCAAACACAAAATTTCACGTTTGCATTTTGTTTTACATGAGAAGAATTTTTTCACAATTATATAATTGAAATATAAAGCAAATTTTGCAAATTACAATGGTAAATAACGCAAAAAAATGATTTGTTTTATTTTCGTTTGTAGTTGCATAGAAAGTAAATGTAAGCGTCAAACAAACAATCAAAATCATAATGTGGATACAAAGAAAATTTGTATTGAGAAACTTACAGTCCAATATGTGAATACAGAACTCTGACTTTTATTAATGCCCGGGTTCACCTGCGAGATAATTTGATACATTGGTTTTCAAAAACAATTATATAGAAAATATATGTAAGATGTTAAAAAAAAAATATGTAAGAAAAATGGATTTTGACTTACTATCCATCCAGCTGATATGCTTTGTAATCCTCCTAAGTCACCTGTAACATCCATACTCGCAAGACTATACTGATGATGTGAGACGTTTGGACTCCTTATGTTAATGTTTCCTTTTGCTCCATGATTGTTACCTTCGTAACTAATTGAGGCAAACTAAAACCAAAAGAGAAGAAATAAAGATAATCAAGAAACATCATATGAACATGTTAAGAGGTGTGCTCAATTCAAACTATGTTCTATAGGGAGTGATTTTTGTACCTGATAAATGTTCTTGTTATTTGAAGAAATTTTTCTTAAAGATTTCAAACGTTGAGCTTGTATAAGATCTTCAATGGTAACTCTTTTGACAATGATTGTCCCAATTGGACAACTTATGTCATCTTGTTGATATGGGAGAGAAGTAGAGTTTTGAGATTTGTTGTTACGTATGATCCATATAGGTATAGTTGTAGGTTTTAACTGCATATATGATACTTCAATCCATTAGAAAGAAAACAAAAATAACATTTAATAGATATACACATATTGGGTTGTAGAATAAAACCTGTATGGAATGGTTCTTTAGCAAAGGATGATCAAAGGCTAACTGCTTTTGAATGTCGATGCAATCCAATATATAACCATGTTCAGTCTGTCGAAATGAAATTTTTTTTTTTTTGATGTGGTCTACAATACAATGAAATGTTACTTTAAATGATATTAATAAATAATAAATGTTTTGAAATCTTGAAAGAAAAACATTGAAAAGAAAGGGAAAGTTTACTTGGAAACTTTTGATTGCGGGTTTATTGATATGGTTGAGTTGCTTCTCCAACTCCTTTATCTCCTCTGGCGATGGTATTGTTATGTGACTCTTTGCAACTAAGATAAGAGCTATTGTTGAGAAAGTCAAGTAGAGCTTATTGGACGACTTCATGGAGAATCAAATATCTTAAAAAAAAAAAGAGAAATCTAAAGGCAATTAAACACAATATTTATTGTATTGTCACATAAATAGAAGACCATTTTAATTAAAAAACCAAATAGAAGACCATTAAAACCAACAAATAACGTATAATCAGTGATCAACAAGTGGCTCTATCTCTCTCTATTATCCATTTGTGGATGCCAAAGTGCAACTTTTTATAAGAAAACTAAAGAAACTTTTTTTTGTTATTGTATTCTTCCTTTGATTACAGTATCAAAGAAAGGATGAAAAAAAAAAATCAAGAAAGTTACTCAGACAAACTTTCAAAGAACATAAATGGTTAATATCCATGCTAATGAATAAAATAAATTTGATACATGTGAAAGTATAACGACCAATTAAATAACACACGTAAAATAGCATATGTAATCTTATTTTATTTTGGTTAGTTTTATTGGTTGAGGAAAAGAAAGATTTATTAAAAGTTTAGATATAAAAATTGAAATCGGTATATATTAATTTATTTTCAGTTTTAACTGTAAAAAGAAAGTCACACTCTTGATAAAAAAAAAGAAAAAAAAAGTCACACTTGTTTGCATATGACCAGTAGATTTGATATGTGTCAAGATTATATGATCTAGTAAATATAATAAAGTTAAGATTTTATTATACGAATAGGCAAAATGAAGTAAATATTTTTTTATTTTTTTATGAAGTAAATATTTATATTGCCGTTTGATTAAAGTATCAAATAAAGGATGCGATGAAATGACATTGAGCAATTAAGGATTAAAACTTATTCTTATCATTTCCACCAACCAAAAAATATATTATAATCCCACAAGTCAAATAGTGAAAAAACCTTATTATATATAATTTATCAGATTAAACATCAAGTTTTATTTTTCAACTGAAATAGAGGACATATATACTAAAGATCTTAAAGACATGTAAATTAAATTTTACATCCTTCAGGACCTCCAAAAAAGATAGCTCTAGACCATTCACCAACATCTATGATCTTGTCAACCTTGTAACAACTTGGATAACTTTCATCTATTTTTAAAGATGAAGCTGTTGGAATCAAAGCTTGTCTTGATTTAGTATCGATCATCACTTGGATATCATTCACATAAGCTGCTTTCTTATAACCCTCTTGTGGAAAATGTCCACTTCCCATGGTTGGGCTCCTCTGTCTCACTGAACAGAAATTTTCTCCTCCCCAGTTCACCGAAGTTGCTCCATTAGCTAAACCATCAGCTTTGAACAATGATCTAGGCCAATATCCAATTGGCTCGTCACGTAGCACAAACCACCAGTGCCCTGTAAGATGATCCTACTCCATTAATCAAAAACAGAATTGTTACCACAACTTTGACTTTTGCTATATGAATTCGAGGAAAGATTATGTTGTTGATATCATGTGTATTAATACCTGATATATACTAACTTCTAGGTGATATTGTTGACCGCCATATATAGAAACTGGTTGGGCGAGGACACCAACTGCGAATTTAGTGCTCACATGTATAAATCCAGGGCATTGTAAATTGAAGCAACCAGTCTGATCACTGTCATCTGCCTATTTGAATCAAACTAAACATTTAAGTATTTAACTAATGAAATCATATCATTTCAAACAAAAAAATTGCGTTTCCATTTTGTTTTACATGAGATGAATTGTTTGTCAATATAAAACCAATTTTTGCAAATAACAAAGGTAGATAACTCAAAATGATTTTTTTTTTTCTGTGTGTTAAACTATCATCAATAAAATGAGAGTTTGGGTTTGGGTAGTAAACATAAAAAAAAAAGCAAATGCAAGAGTCACAAACAATCAAAGTCATAATGTGGATGTAAAGAAATTTGAAAAACTTACAGTCCAATATGTGAATACAGAACTGTGATTCATATTGAATTCTGGGTGCACCTGAGAGATAATTTGATATATACATTGGTTTCCAAATTTTTATATAGAAATATTACATGCAGAATATGGATCTTGACTTACAATCCATCCAGCTGAAATGCTCTGTAACCCTTTTAAATCGCCTATGACAGTAATACTCGCAAGACTAAACTGATTTTGTGAGACTTTTGGACTCCATATGTTAATGTTACCTTTTGCTCCATGATTGTTATCTTCGTACCAAACTGTGGCAAACTAAACTCCAAAAGAAAATAAAAAAGATAATCAAGAAACATCATATGAATAAGTTACGAGAAGTTCCCAATTTCAACTATGTCTGATATGAAGTGATTCTTACAAAATGATCTCTTAAATACATATTCTTGTTATTTGAAGAAAATTGTCTTAAAGATTTTAAACGTTGAGCTTGTATAAGATCTTCTATTGTAACCCTTTTGACAATGATTGTGCCAATTGGACAATTTATGTCATCTTGTTGATATGGGAGAGAACTAGAGTTTTGAGAATTGTTGTTATGTATGATCCATTTAGGTATAGTTGTAGGTTTTAACTGCATATATGATACTTCAATCCATTAGAAAGAAAACAAAAATAATATTTTAATAGATATACTCATATTGGGTTGTAGAATAAAACCTGAATGGAATGGTTCTTTAGCAAAGGATGATCAAAGGCTAACTGCTTTTGGATGTCGATGCAATCCAATATATAACCATGTTCAGTCTGTCGAAATGGGAAACAAAAAAAATATTTGATGTGGTCTACAATACAATGAAATGTTACTTCAATAAATGTTTTGAAATCTTGAAAGAAAAACATTGAAAAGAAAGGGAAAGTTTACTTGGAAACTTTTGATTGCGGGTTTATTGATATGGTTGAGTTGCTTCTCCAACTCCTTCATCTCCTCTGACGATTGTTTTGTTATGTGACTCTTTGAAACTAAGATAAGAGCTATTGTTGACAAAGTCAGCAAGTAGAGCTTATTTGACGACTTCATGGAGAATCAAAGATCTTAAAAACAAATCTTTTTTTTTTTGGTAATGCAAAGGGAGAAATAACTCCCCAAAGATCTTAAATAAAAATCTAAAGGACAATCAAACACAATATATATTGTCACATAAAAAGAAGACCTTTAAAACCAACAAATCCTATATAACCAGTGATTAACAAGTGGCTCAATCTCTCTCTCTCTATTATCCATTAGTGGATGACAAAGTGAGATTAAAAAAAGAAAAAAAACTAAAGACACTTTTTTGATGTATCTTATCAACCATATAAAAGTTTATAATTTTTCATATTTGAAAAAGTGTATTTTTGAAAATGGATAGAAAAGAAGGGTATTTTAAAAAAGGGTAGACCAAAAGGGGCATTTCTCAAAAATTCTCTTATATTATCGTGTTATTAAAATAGAAATATTAACATCTAAGAAATTTATTTATAAAATGAAATTTTAGTTACAAAAATGAAAATGGACCAATACTGTAAATGTTGTCATCAGCTGTAAACGTTGCATCCGATTCTCTCATAGATGATGCAAAAGCTCAACCAAACACATCAAAAACCAAAACAAACCACAAGAAGAAGGAACCTCAGATTTTGATGTAGGGATACCATTTGGTTTTGCTCACCAACATGCTAGATCCATCGAGTATATGTGATCAAAATACTTGAAAACACCATTTTCACCCAAAAAAAAAAACAACAAGTAACTTACGCGTGCGTGCATATCGTTTGTCTTTTTTTTTTTGAATTGAATGTAAAATTTATTCAAACCAAAAAACTGTTTTACAATGACTGTGTACTTGGATTTGAAACAATTAGATAAAGAGAAATTGAGCTGTAACTCCAACTGTGAAACTCATAAACGAGAGCAATCAATGTGGAGGGATACGAGTAGCAAACCAGTAGGTTAGCCCCTCATTATAGGAGTAGTCTCCTTGGTGAAGAATTGAGCTGAATCTATTGCGGATATTTTTGTCAATATTCTTAAGAAGAAGAGATTGCGTGCAAGGGCTATCTCCATGACGTCGTTTGTTCCGTTCTTGCCAAATATGATAGAGAGTTGTTTGAAAGGTGTACCTTAGTGTGAAAAGACTTATTCTTTCTTGGCTGGGATTGGAGAGAAGCCGTAACAGTTGGTTCCAATCAGTAGTGAATTTGTGAGCAAGAATTCGACTAACTAGAGGGGTCCATATTCCTGAAACGAAAGAGCAAGTGAAGAACAAATGATTCCGAGTCTCCACGGGTTCACCACAGAAAGTACAGTCTATTCTCTGATTCGAATTCCAATTCCGGATACGTTCCCCGGTAGAAAGACGATTGTGAACAGCCAGCCACGTAATGAAAGCATATTTTGGCGTTGCATACTTGAACCATACACCCTTATACCAATCTTGATTCAGCTGGAGCGTGCGTAATTGATATCTTGTTTCTTTTGTACTGAATTTCTGTTCGTACTTATCTCGCAGCCCTCTCCATAAAGATACATCCGCCTCTTCTGTGAGAGTAAGGCTAGCGATCTCATCCTCGATCTGGTCTAGTACAGCACTTCGGTGTCTTCGACGACGTCTATGACCGGCTTTCACTTTTGTGCATATCGTTTGTCATCTTCTTCACCCTTTTCCATGTGTTCTCCATCTCTACCAGCAGCAAGCTTCCGTCAAAAGAGACTCCTACTAGCAATAGGACCATTGTATCTCACGGAGCACTACTCTTCGAACTTGGTTTTCCTTCAACCTCAGCTTCTGATCGTTTGTTATGTAAGGCATGGCGTACAAAAACTTTTAAATATTGAATTTGTCTCCCACTCTCCCCGAAAATATCAGATTTCGCATTGGCTAGGCTTGTTCGAGAGAATGAGATAGAAACCAACACGACAAAAAGGGAGTTGGAACTTAGTATGTAAATTTACATACCATCATCAACTTAATTTTTTACAAACATCAGCGATCATTTTGATTTAATTTTTATACTTATGCAACTACAAGAATTAGTTGGATATCGGGAAACTTTTAAATATTGAATTTGTCCCCCCACTCTTTATTAGTTTTATATATAAGTCTCGTGATATATTGGAAAGATTCATTCATTATTATTACTTTCTGATTTGTTTTTATTTTCTTGTATTTTTCTAATATTTTGATTATGTTTTTCTTGGACTTTTCTTTATTTTTCATTCTATTTTCCCATATATATCCTTAACTAATAGAAAAATTGATTAGATATTTAATTGTTGTTGTTTTAAAAATTTCGTTATCAAGAACTTAATTATAAGACAATGACACCGTTAGATTCCAGTGGTAGAGCTAGCTAAAGTACACCACCACATTTTTAGTAATATTACTAAAACCTATTTAATAAACAAGGTTTGTTATCTTTTACTTTTGTTTTGTTTTGTTTTTTTTAAAATTGACTTATCTTATTCCAGAACTGAAAACATAAACAAACCAAACTATTTATAATTAAAAGATTTCATCAAATGAGAATCTAAATGTTCCTAATAATCTGATATATATAGAGAAAGTTTAAAGATGAAATACATGAAAGGGTCAAGGGTGTGAATTGGAGCGTTGCATATGGCTTCATGTAAATGAGTATTTTATATCTCATCATGCATGCGTTATTCTTTTGCAGACTCATGTAACTTTCTTTTTACATTTTACAGATGGTTTCTCGTGTCCACGTAGAAAATGCATACATGGCTTCATGTCGTGGACAAGCATGTGGCAAACACGCGCAATTTTATCTGATGAAGTTCTGATCAAAAAGTTCAAAGCTCAAAACTATTTCCTCTTGTCTTATAGAACTCATAGGATCTTAATCGGTGAATAAAGCTTTTACAGATGAGGCCACATGCATGCAAGACTTTACCGGTTATAAAATTATTCAATTAACTTAATTAGTTAGAGAGTAGAATCAAAGCCGTTTAGATAGCACCAATGAATTTGATCAGGTGTAATCTCTTAAGATCTATTTTCTCAATTCATTTGTATATACTTCTACTTACAAAATAAAAATATTATTTAGGAAACAGCTTTTAATTTAAACCTCTTTTTGATAAGAAATATTTATTAGAAATTGATATATACTTCTACTTACAAAGAAAATATAGTTACAAAAAAATGGTAACAAATCATGGTGACTATTAGTGGCAGATAGTATTAAATCTTATATGTTATAGCTTCCTTGACAAATCAATAAATAAATAATATGAAATTCATTAAATCAAAATGATGGAAATAAAATAAAGTTAGATTTTACAACATAATTACAAAATAAACTAGTAGTGTGTGATGATGTTTCCCCTCGTTCTTTGTGTGTGTATATAATAACACACACATCATGATCATGTTTCTACACTTCACAGCTTTAAAGAGAGAGAGAGAGAAAGAGAGAATCGAATCATCAATGTCGTCGGAGGAAGAGAATAAGATGACAAGAATCTCTATCGAACCGGAGAAGCAAACACTTCTTGATCATCACACCGAGAAACACTTCACCGCCGGAGAAATCGTCCGTGACATCATCATCGGTGTCTCCGATGGTTTAACCGTTCCTTTTGCACTAGCCGCCGGTCTCTCCGGTGCCAATGCTTCTTCTTCTATCGTCCTTACCGCCGGAATAGCCGAAGTAGCTGCCGGCGCTATCTCCATGGGACTCGGCGGGTATTATTAATAACTTCACTTTATCTATTCCGTTTTATAAGACTTTATCCTTTGAATATCTATCTCCAAAGGATTTAGTCGTTTTATAAATATCTAAATATATATTATTGACACGTAAACTCTCTATGAAATTCTGAAATAGTTGCTACAAATTTAAGTTTCTTAATCATATAAGAAAACAAATCCTACATGCAAATGATTATTCATTTCCTTACTTGTGGTATAATTACTGTAAACATTAATTACATATTTACATATGATAAGATGATTAAGAACTTATTATATATAATGAATACTAATTTTTTTGTGTACGTCATTTTTTATGAAATTAATTTACTTCGAAAAATAAAAAATTCCTTGATCATGTAATGTTTATATATACACGCATGTATTCATATTTATAGTCGCAAGTAAACATATGGTACGATGTACGAATTAAGAAACGTGATTAAACTGTGGAATTTAATGCAAAGTTAAAAAATATTGCATTACGAACTTATTAGGTACTTAGCTGCCAAGAGCGAAGAGGATCATTACGCGAGGGAGATGAAACGAGAACAAGAAGAGATCGTGGCCGTTCCTGAGACTGGTACGACCAACTTTGGACTCAATCTGACTAGCTAAGCCTTCCTAGAAAAAATGAAAATGGTGTAACAAAGTTTAATTTCTATATAAACAGAGGCAGCTGAAGTGGCAGAGATACTTGCACAGTATGGGATAGCTCCACATGAATACTCACCTGTGGTTAATGCTCTTCGTAAGAATCCTCCAGCATGGCTTGATTTTATGATGAGGTCAGTAACTTTCCCACTAATTTCATTACTATTATTTTACTTGTCATATTAAGATTCTTCAACTATATAGTAGTCTTTTACTTAGGGATAAAATCGAGGGATACTTTTGGTGTTCTGCAAAAAGCTGAGCTTTTTACTTTCCAGGTGTGGACAAGATTCTATATGGTCCGACTTCCAAAATTTTAAACTGTTAAACAAATTACATAGTAGTAACAAACAGAAGTGATAGAGTTGGTCAAATTAAACATTTTAGCTCACATATGTTCATAATCCTATACTATAGTCTATAAGCATATGTTGCATGCACATTGGTTATATATGTTAGACTTAAATTGGTTATAATTGCCACAGGTTTGAGCTGGGGTTAGAGAAGCCTGATCCAAAAAGAGCGTTACAAAGCGCGTTCACGATTGCAGTCGCTTATGTTCTTGGCGGTTTTATACCGCTATCTCCCTACCTGTTCATACCGCATGCCATGGATGCGGTTGTGGGGTCTGTGATCATAACGCTGTTCGCTCTCTTCATATTTGGCTATGCAAAAGGGCATTTCACCGGCAGCAAACCCCTTAGAAGTGCGTTTGAAACCGCCTTTATAGGAGCCATCGCCTCAGCCGCTGCTTTTGGTTTGGCTAAAGTGGTGCAACATTAGCAGCTGTAACAAAACTTATGTAGCGTTTTTATGTTTTCTTTTCTTTAATTTGTAACTTCTTTTTATTGCATGACTTGTGGTTTCTTATCACGCTCAAACTTATTGCAACCAAAATAAATAAAAATAATTGCAAAATATGTATTCGGTTTCTTTAATTTCAAGACAAGGTTCAATTAGTGATAAAGGTTTCAGACTTTTAGAGACAATGCAACTAAAGACAATACAACTATAGCAAAATACACAATTACAATTCAACATGTTACTATTGTTACCAATCTAAAGATTTAAACATAAGTACTCTCCCATTAAGAGAAACTAGCAAATACAAGTACATGTCCTAAGCTAATATTGCTGACATTACAAGTTTTCTTCAAATTTTGAAGATGTGAAGGAAATAGTTTGAGAACAAATACGAGCTTCATCTTCTTAAGCCCATCCATGTTGCTCAGTGTCGTTGTCTCGAACATTTTCCCAAGATCCAAGATTCTTCATTAACATTTGATCCATACCCTTGTCTGATTCTGTGGTCTCTGTTGCTGTTGTCAGCATCACCTTTCTGACTGAAATTTGCAGAGGAAGATAGACCATGAACCGCCATCGAAGTAGTGACAGAAACAGGACGGTCAGAAGTAGATGATACATCAACCGCAAAGTTTTGAATGTGAGATCTACCACTGCCAAGATCATCATTAGGAATCCAAACTCCAAAACTAGCGGAGAGATGATTTTCTACTGGTTGACCAAACAATGCAGCTAGTGTCTGTGGATGTAATTGTCCTGAGGAAACCATAGCTTGGATGTTTTCATATCTTTTGATACACTCCGTGTCTTTACTCTGTGAAGCTACACCGCTTAACCTCTTCAGATACAATCGAAACTTCTGCAATTTCGTTGACTCACTCAGTCAAAACCTTTCTAGAGCTAAACATGAGTAAAGATTCAATCAATCAGTCAACCAAACCTGTAAATGACTAGCCACGTTTTCTCTGCTCAAACCAGGAACATTCATCAACTCTAGAATCCGCTTTGGTACAGCTTCTGAAACAAAAAGAGGAATTCTTATAAGCACAACTCAATATGAGTTTATATATAAATTGTATGTAGTGTTTAGGATCATACTGTCAATTCCAAGCTGGTTTACAGCATTGACGAATTGTTGATGCAATTCAATAGACCAAACAACGCGTGACGACTTCTTCGAATTTTCATCATCTTCATTATCTTCTCTATCAACACTTCTCTTCTTCTTCTTACGTTTCATCAAACTCCCCTCTGAGCATTCACTAGCCGAATACACAGTCTCGACGCTGCCACTGTTCTTGTTATCCTCTAAAACTTGAGAATTTCCAAGCTCCTTGTTCATTGTACATTTCCTTCTAACAACATGTTGCCATATGTTCTTAAGCTCTTCAGGACGAATTGGTTTGATTAGATAATCACAAGCTCCATGGTTGATTCCAGTCATGACTGTAGTTGTTCTTCCATCAACAGACATCACTAGAACAAGATTAATCAATCTCAAATAAGAAACAATGGATAGAAAGTTTCAATCTTTGGAGACAGAAGGTAAAGAACAGAGTCTTACTAATGACAGGAAGATCCATTTCGAGACCAACTTGTTGGAGAAGTTTGTAACCATTCATACCAGGCATATGTACATCACTTAGAACCAAATCGAAACAGTCTTTTCTTTCTCTTAGAAGGGTTAACGCAACATCAGCTTGTGAGCAAATTGTAACTGCAAAAAAAAAAAAAAGAAAGGAACAAAACTTAGATAAACAAAAATGTGAACTTTCAAGGGAAAATCTATGAAAAGGTGGGAACTTTGAATAAGAATCAGACCTTGGTACATGAGACGTAGAAGCATTTTCTCGAGGATGAACAAGCAGGAAGTGTCATCATCTACAACGAGAATTCTTAACCCAGTAGGAAACTGATCGCTGATCGCCATTTGCAGATGAAGAAATGAATAAGCTTTCGTGTGAGTATTGAAAAGGTGAAAACCCTAGAGAACTGAGAACAAGATTTGGGGAAGAAGAAGAAGAAGAAAGATACAAAATGTGGAGAAGAAATGATTGAAGTCGTACAGTGTTGAGTAAGTAGCCACTGGCTTGAAGAGAGAGGCATCGAAAGCGACTGCTATAAGTGGTAATAGCTGTAGTGAGTGGCACTGTGATGTAATTAAACTCATCACTACTACCCTTCTATGTAAAATATACATGTCCTTCAAAAATATCTTATCTAGACAAATCTTTGGTAACGGTCCTCATGCACTATTATATCACAATGCTTATCACGCCGGCGAATCAATGCGGTGGCATAGCCGGGTTATTCGTTTTCGGACAGAAAGATCAAATTACTACGAGACCCTCGTTCACAAACTTGAATACCCTATTCACCGTGCCTCCGGTGGTGGCATTGGCGGCGGAGAGAAGAGCAGCTTCAAAGGCGTTACGGTGTTGTGCTCGGAGAAGGGTGAGAGACGACGTAGGAGGTGAAGATGAAGATGAAGAGTACGGGTACAACGAGGAGATGGCGATGTTGGAGGTATATAGCCAGTCGTGTAGAGAAGAAGCGCTTATTGTGACTGCCATTGTTGACGACGAAGAAGTGGAAGTTATCATCTTCAAAGGAGTATCGTCGTGCCTGAGCGGAGAAACAGCGGTTGATCCGGCGAGGAGTGTGTTGCCGGAGAGAGCAGTGATCACAAAGATTGATAGAGTGAGAGGTCCTTTTGATCCATCACAGATTCATTACATTCAAAAGGGACTCTCTTTTCAAGCCTTCAAAGAGACCAGACTCAACTCATGAATCTTGATTCATTTAACAGTATTCACATTTGACATTTTGTTATGGTCCATGAATGTTGATGAAGATTTCAATTCAACAACTCTCACCTCTGTTTCTGAACTTATTTCAGGATTTGCAACAGTCACACTAATCAAATAAATCACAGAGTAGGCTCAAAAGGGTAACTATAGCACAATCCTAACTCTTTATCTATATATATAAGAAAACCAATAAACATCACCAGCACAAAAGTTAGCTAATAAAATTTGAAATCAGTGTTTCTCTTCCTTTTCTTTTTACCTTGAAATCTTACTATGTTAGAGAAGCACACAAACCTCCCATATTAGATTTCTACATTTGTATGCTTTAATCATTCTTTCCATCTACTAACCACTGATTGAGAATTCATATTTTTCCTCGTGGGAATCGACTTCTTTGATTACTGCGTACTCCTCGTCATCCCCATTCGTCCTGAGCCTCTGCTAAAACACCGATTATGCAAACAAAACATTCAACTAAGTTAAAAAAGGAAACTAACTTATAATCATTATATTCGATCGTTATAATAAGTAAACGCAAGTACCTTCGAGAAAGTAACTGTGCTGTTGTTGAAGCTCCTTTTGAGTTAATAGAGGGACGTCTCGTTCTACTATCTGATCCTTTGTTATCCACACGCATAGCTGAAACCTCTTTCTCCATTGCAGCTACTTCTCTTCTCATCTTCTTTGCTTCCACTTCCATCGCCTTTGTTAGTGTTTCAACCTTTTTTGCCAACATCTAAAGAAAACACGAGAACAGAGTATTTTAATCAGAGAATATAAGTAAATCCAAGCAAATGTTTCCTGGAAAGGTGTAAAACAGATGACTGACCTCAATAGCTTCGTCTTTATCTCTAAGGCTTTGATCTTTATCGTGAGCAGCTTTCCGTAAAGTTATCACCTCCTTTTGAAGCAGATCATGTAATACTCCTGGGACACTATCATTATTTGTCGCTGCTACTTTCTCTGATTCTTCTTGTTTTGTTGAATTAGGTGACTCGCCTCCGTTTTTTCCTTCAGAAGACTGGTTCACTGGAAACTTCGATCTGGGTTCGTTTGTTAGTAGTTTACTCCTATCTAAAGATCTGCTGCCTCCATCAAATGATCTAGATGTTCCTTTAGCATGCTTCAGTATTGTACTTGTACTAGCATTCAGAGATCTAAACTGAGAACTCGGTGTTTTCTTGGAGAAAAATCCATTCGATGTCAGTTTTGGAATAATATCAGCTCCGCCAAGGGATTGCCTTCGAGATGGCCCGTTGCTAATACTTCTTCCCTCAGGTGTCGACCGGTTGCCACTGCTTGGAGGCCCTCTTAAACTCTCTTCTAAGACTCTAAGCCGCAGTTGAAATTTCTCCTGAAAACAACAAAAGCAGCAATTCTAATTAAAGCCTTGGACATAAAGACGACAAAAGATATGGATCCTAACTAGGATTCTTACCTTTAGCTGAGCTTCAGATTTTGCAGCTCTATCAGCTATGGCAAGTTTGTCACGTAGTTGTTGCATTTCTCCCTGTCCAAAAAGAAACAGGAAATGGTCAAAGAATGCGCTAAAAGTTAAAATGGTTTCGGTGCATATAAATCACAACTCGAAGCAGTAACAGAAACCCAAAAAGAAAAATTAAAAAACCTGCAAAAATCTTCGTTCTTCGAGCCATTGCTTCACAGGCATCACTTTGTCACTACCATCTTTCCACTCATTTGCCACTACAGTTGCAACTCTGCTTGCACTTACTTTGGCACGAGACAGTTCCCGATCAAGGACTCTCCTCTCTTCCTAAGCACAGGATTAATGGCCATTGCTATGATTAGCACAGGAATTGAATTTTAAGTACAAGGGTAGCAATAGGCTACTGAGGCATTATACGTGTACGTGAATTATTACATTCATTTCTTGGAATTTCCTCTGGTAATCCCTCACAGCATTTGCAGCTGCACCACCAGCGAGCACAGCTTCTTCAAGCTCTCGTACAGTCTGGGTAAACTTTTCAACTTCTGCAACCTTTTGTCTGTGCAATTTGTCCAAAATTCTGTTCTCTTCCTAGTTTAAACAATTGATAAACAAGGCAGGCTCACGATAACGAACAAAGAGATCCAGATATTTAAAGTACCGCTGTGTAAAGGAGGTGAAAGTAATACCTGGCAAATTTCTATCTGTTTCATCAACTCTTGGTTTTTATTCTGGAGGTCATCAACCATTGAAGCCTTGGCAAGAGCAGACTGAACGGTTCTTTCAGCATCAAGCAAAGCTGCTTCCTTCGATTTAGTTAGGCGGTCCAATGCTCTGTTGTCATCTTGAAGTTTCACGATCTACAATTAAAAACATGCAAAACCAGATGCCCAGTTTTTGTAAACGGTTCCAAGACTCAATAAGCCAGGATATACAATATAAATTTGGTTGAATAGAAGAAAAATACTTCATGTCTCGCCAACTTGAGTTCAGCCTCTAAAGGGGCGAGAATGGCTTCAATAGGAGGCATATCGTCATCCTTTTGAGCAGCATGAACCCTTCGAAGAGTGGCTTCTGCAGCGAATTGAGCTGCCATGGAAGCCCTTTTTTCTTCATTAATTTTCTTGATTTCAAGGTTCTGTGACAACATGTGATATTATCAAATACAGATCCAAAAAGAAAAGAATTGTAATAATAAAAAGCAATAGAGGAAATACTGCAAACATACTTTACTGTCAAGAAGGTTTTCAGTTAGTTTGAGCTTCTCCGACATCTTTCCCAACTCTTCCGTAAGCTTAAGCAATCAAATTAAAGAGTAGAGCGTCAGAGTATACAAAGCTGATTTCTGTGGCATAATAAATATAAGCTTCATATACATATACTTTTGCAGGCACGGACACAATTTTTTTCTCACCAAGCATATCAAAATCTAAATATAACAATAGTGAGAGTCAAACTATAACACATCTTCTAAAGACAAAGATTTAAAATGTATGCATCATAGAGTGACTGCTCACCTGTACTGCATAACAAAGAACTCCAATGCTACTTGAGCAGAAGCTACTAACCGAAGGATAATAGTTTAAGGAATCTAGAAACTCAAATTGCGTTTCACGAATCTAAACTCTTCCTAACCATTAATCTGACCCCAAACAATAACCCATTATGTCAAGCTATATTTTCAAATACATGTTCTTGTGATAGATTCAATTGCATCAAGTCTAATCCAAACATCCCTATATGACATGGTGAAAAGGATAGGGGAATGACAGATTAACTGCAGAAACTAATAGCCAAATGTAACAGTTTTAATGGAGTAAATCTAGCAACTCAAATCGTGAAACACGATTTGTCAAGATATATTCTTAATCATTACTATGACCCAAACAAAAACCCAATATGTCAAAGATATAATCACAATGTCCTGCATATGTGGAAAATTCAGTTGATTAGGGAATAGGACAGATTGGCTGCAGAGATTACAAACCCCAAGCATTCAATGAATGCGATAGCTACATTGTATGAATTGCTTCATCTTCTCAAGCCATATAGAATCAACTATAATATTAATGACTACCTAAACTTGTTCATCAAATTACCCTCTCAAGTCAAAAAAAAAAGGAAGTAAATACACTTAAGAAGGACTAACTAACCTCTTCAACAGCCTTCTCTCTCTGCCGTTCAGACAACCTCAATGCCTTGATCTCAGCTTGTGATTCAGATAGTTCCCGATCTTTATCTGCACCCCCAAAGTCAAAAGTTTTAAAACCAAGAAATGACACTCATGCACGTAATGACAAGTGAATATCCAAAACCCAAATTACAAAATCTAAAAATGTCAACGGAAACTTGAAACCTAACATTAACAATAGCAAAAAAAACAACAGATCGAGTATCCCATAGTACCTCTGACATCGTTCTCAAGCCTATTGAGCTCAATTTTAACCGGATCTGAGCCATGGAGTAAAGTAATGAAGTCATTATCCGCATCAAAACTCGGCTTCATTGACCTCCGTCGTGATAAACCTTTACTCCCTCCTCCTCCTCCTTCGCGGAATGAAGATGACATAGTCAATGACGGCGAAGAAGACCTCGCCGTCGTACCAAACTCACTCGCCGTTGGTCGTCCATTGTTAACCTCAAACGAATATCCACCTTCCTCCATTTTTTTTTATATTCCCGATCTATAAACCAACTCTACACATTCAAAATCGCAACTAATGAGTCCCAAATCCACCAGATAATTCAAACACAAACGAAAACGCGCATACCTAAGTCAGCACATTCTCGAATCGAAAAGCAAAAAATGTAGAAACACTGAGGAAGAATCGAGGAGACGACTCGTGGAAACAAAAGGGTTAGGGTTTGAATTCGGCTTCTTCACCGGCGAGATACAGGAAACTAAATAAGAGAGAAATAGCAAAGTTTTTTTTTGTTTTTGGGGGAGACAAAGAGATGAAGAGATTTAAAAGAGGTTTATGAGTAAAATTGGTTATAGTGATTTTTGTGTGTAATATATAGAAAGAAAGTTCACAGCGAACAGAAAGAAAAGATAATTCATTAATTTGCGTCACACACAAATCCATTTATAATTTTTTTAAGGGATGCTTAATTTGCTAATTAATACCATTCACGCTTACGAGGTATATTAATTCTTTACGTTTTGTGTTTATTTAATAATAAGCTAATTTAATACTTGGGGAAAAAAACAAAATTTTACCAATATACTAGAGCAGATGAATTTGATAAGTGTTTATCAATATAGCTAAGCTATGAGAATATATCAATCGGGACCTTGAATTATAGTTTTCATTATGAACCATACAATAAGTCCTCACATGTACGAATGAGAACACTACAAATCACGTTCTCGTGAGTCAAAATGTCTCTTAACACGATTTCGTTAGTTATGTTTATATGTGTATGTTTGCAACTCGCAAGTCACAAGTCTTACTTCATACGTTACAATATGTGCAACAACAAAAAAAAATCTTTCATGGTTCGAAGTTTGAAATGTTTTTTTTTTTTTTCTAATTGTAATCTTTCATGGTTTGAAGTTTGAACAAATTAATATCTAATAGCTGAGGGCTTGATTCCGTGATTCCTACTCACTTTACTAGTAAGCAATCAACGTATGGTTACCTAACGAATTTAATACAGGTTTTGCAGGTCAATCATAAAACTTTTATTTATTTATTTAACCAATGGTCATGAGGTTGACGATGACCAATGGTCATGGACTCATGGTAGTGCACGCTCTTTGTGTTTTCATCTGTCACCGTTGCAGAGTGTGTTTTCCGTTGGCTGCGAAATGGGCTTTAACTGTTTAAACAGGCCCATTCTATATTCTTATATTGGGCTGGGGAGAGAAGCCTCTAGCTGAGAAAGAGTGTTACATAACAAGAGGACAGGTCACAGTGTTGTGTTTAGAAGTTAGAACCCAACCATGGTCGGTCCTTAGGGTTTAAGCTTCTCCGTTAATGTTACCGATCTTTTGAAAGTTGTTTTACCTTACAAATCGTCTTAAGGATTCACATGTCCATGAATGGTCAAAGAAGCTCTTCAATTTATTTCTCGGCTGAGAAGTTCCTCAAATTTTCCAGCCCAAGTCACCTGCAACAAGCATATTCATCAGCTAGTCAATGCCAACTGCGGCGTTCTCTGTCTTAAACTCTTAGCTTACTTAGTCTCCAGAGGCTACACTCCTCATCGTTCCTCATTCAATTCGGTCGTATCGTTTGTTTGTAGATTAGGTCAGGTTCAATTCGCTCAAGATATCGTACTTTCGATGCCTAGATTCGGGTGTTTACCAGATGTTATATCTTATAACTCTCTCATTGATGGCCACTGTAGAAATGGCGATATCAGAAGTGCTTCTTTGGTGTTAGAGAGTTTAAGAGCCTCTCATGGGTTTCTCTACAAGCCTGACATAGTTAGTTTTAATTCTCTGTTTAATGGGTTTAGCAAGATGAAGATGTTAGATGAGGTTTTTGTGTATATGGGTGTTATGTTGAAGTCTTGTTCCCCGAATGTTGTTACTTATACTACTTGGATTGACACGTTCTGCAAATCCGGGGAGTTACAATTGGCGATGAAGAGTTTTAACTGTATGAAGAGAGAGGCTTTATCTCCAAATGTGGTTACTTTCACTTGTTTGATTGACGGCTATTGTAAAGCTGGTGACTTGGAGGTTGCGGTTTCGTTATACGAAGAAATGAGACGTGTTCGGATGTCTTTGAATGTTGTTACTTATACTGCTTTGGTAGATGGTTTCTGTAAACAAGGGAAAATGCAGAGAGCTGAGGAAATGTATTCGCAGATGCTCAAGGATAGAGTTGAGCCAAACTCTCTTGTATACACTACGATTATCGATGGGTATTTCCAGAAAGGAGATTCGGATAATGCCATGAAGTTTCTGGCCAAAATGCTCAATCAAGGGATGAGACTTGATATTGCAGCTTATGGCGTAATCATATCAGGCCTTTGTAGTAATGGTAAACTAAAGGAGGCAACAGAGATTGTACAAGATATGGAGAAAGGTGGTTTAGTTCCTGATATGATGATTTTTACTACAATGATGAATGCATATTTTAAATCCGGGCGCATGAAGGCTGCGGTTAACATGTACCACAAATTAGTTGAGGGAGGCTTTGAGCCAGATGCTGTAGCTCTTTCAACTATGATCGATGGGATTGCGAAGAATGGACAACTACATGAAGCTATAACTTATTTCTCTATAGAGAAAGCTAATGATGTTATGTACACCGTGCTTATTGATGCTTTGTGCAAAGAAGGAGACTTTATAGAAGTTGAGAGATTGCTTGGCAAAATTTCAGAGGCTGGACTTGTTCCGGATAAGTTCATGTACACTTCTTGGATAGCTGGTTTGTGTAAGCAAGGGAACTTGGTGGATGCGTTTAAGTTAAAAACCAAAATGGTTCAAGAGGGTCTCGAGCTCGATTTGTTAACCTACACAACATTGATTTATGGGTTAGCTAGCAAGGGTTTGATGGTCGAGGCTAGACAAGTTTTTGATGAAATGTTGAGAAGTGGAATATGTCCTGATTTGGCTGTTTTTGATCTACTGATTAGAGCTTATAAAAAGGAGGGAAACATGACTGCTGCTTCGGATTTGCTTCTCGATATGCAAACAAGAGGGCTTGCAACAGCAGTAAGTGATGGAGATTGCAGCAAACAATGTGACAATGAAGTGAGCTGTTCTTGAACTTACTTATGATTTGAGCTATGAGCATCAGCAGCTGTTCTATCCTCAAATATGGGCGAATATAGTAAAGGGCATCTGTAAGCAAGGGAACTTGGTGGATGCGTTTAAGTTAAAAACCAAAATGGTTCAAGAGGGTCTCGAGCTCGATTTGTTAACCTACACAACATTGATTTACGGGTTAGTTAGCAAGGGTTTGATGGTCGAGGCTTACAAGTTTTCGATGAAATGTTGAGAAGTAGAATATGTCCTGATTTGGCTTTTTTAATCTACTGATTAGAGCTTATGAAAAGGAGGGAAACATGACCGCTGCTTCAGTTTTGCTTCTCGATATGCAAACAAGAGGGCTTACAACAGCAGTAAGTGATGCAGATTGTAGTAACAATGTGACAATGAAGTGAGCTGTTCTTGAACTTACTTATGATTTGAGCTATGAGCATGAGCAGCTGTTCTATTCTCTATGGGCAAATATAGTAAAGGGCACTTGTAAATTGTTATCTTTTACATTTAAAAATGAATGCTTTCAACAAAAGATACATGATTTGATAGTTATATAAATATATACAGAAGTGTTTAAATTGATGAGATGGAATCTGTATCCATATGTGCAGAATTTTACTCCCTCTTATTGGTTGGGGTTTGTCTTCAAGATTGGTCAGTCGTTCCTTTAAGGATGTTGTATTTGCAGAGAGGGCATGTTGCTCTCATCTTAAGCCATTTCACAATACAGGTCGAATGAAAGTGGTGGTTACAAGGAAGAGCATGAAGCTCTGCACCATCCTCGTATGAGCTCAGACATATGCAACAGTCCTGTCAAGAAAAATCAAGTAGAAGAAACCTATGAAACTTATAAAAGCAGAGTTTATAAGTAACAAACTATATGCATAATAGATTGGCTTTACCGCATCCTCAGCAAGAAGTGTTCTTTCAGTTGCTAAGCATATTCCATTGGTCGATACAGGAACCATTTTGCCAGGTCCGGCAATGTTCTTCTCGTTGGTATGGAAAGCCCTAAATTTGTACAGGGGAAGAACACCGAGCTCAGCCTCTGATACTCCTTCCTGTATCTTCCGCAAGAAAAGGCGTTTGTAAGTCTCCAAAGTTGTAATCTATTAAGTCAACAAAGGTCGATGAGAGGATATCCATGTTCATACCGTTCCTGCAACGGCGTAGAGAAGAGCTATTATGCAGGGAAGACAGCAGCAGAGAGCTATTCCAACAAGGCAAGCCAAAACAATACAGAAAATGGCGAAGAAGACATCAATCGCCAGAAAAGTCACCGACAACCTGCAATAACCCGGAACATTTGAGACACAGGAAACAATGTCTTGTATTTGAATGAGCAGCAAATCCTATGCTAAAATTAAAATCTGTTACCAATAAAGATTAGGAGCTTCTCCTAAAAGCTTATCACCACCTTCAACAACCCAGTAGAATCCAATTATCCACCATAAGAATGATACCACAGTGTTTGTAGACTCGCATCTTTTTGCAAAACTAATCACAAATCCATCATAATTTGGTAAAATCCTTACAAAATCCAAAAACATAAATTTCATCATTAAACCATCAAATTGTGATTTAATCATCAAACCTGTAAGTTGTTGAATTGTCACTGTCTTCTTCATAGTCATACTCACTGTAATCTCCAGGATCGGCGGCACTATCTCCAGACTCCAAATCCCTAGCTCTACGAGTCGTGTTTCTCCTCCAATACTCGGACCAAACCAAAACCACATGGATCAAACACTGTAACCCATACCCACAGATCCAAACTCTGATCGGCTCGTTAGGTCTTTCTTCGACGGTTCCGACAAGCATAACCGCCGATGCAAGCACCAGAGCAGCGTTCCAGAGTATATCAGCAGCAACTACAGGTTTCGAGTAACCCCAATCGATCCGTCTCTCCTCGAGAGCACGTGCCGCCGTCTCTCTCACAAGCATCGACGGTGCACGGTGGCCGGTGATCCTTCCCAAGAGAACGGCGAGAGCTGTAGGTCTGGCTGATGAAGGAGAAGAGCCGTCGCGACGCGGGCGGAGTAGTGGCGCATGTTGATCACGCGCCGCCGTGGAATCTGAAGAAGACGATGACATCAGTATCTTCAAAGACGGAACCAACGAAAACAATTGAGCTTCTTCTCTCTTACTCTCTCTCTCTCTCTCTCCTCCTCTAGAAAACGCTAAGCCATGGCGGACAGTTGAAAAAAAGATTGGTTTTTTAAGTTTTTAAATTAAGTAATTAGAATTTAATTAAACAAGATTAATTAACATTTAAGATTAGAAACAGTTACAGATTAATTATCATAATCACAATTAATCATCTTTGACTTTATACAGGTGTTACTGTGTTAGCTAGAAATTGGCGCTAAAGTTGGTCAGTTTAGTTACTGGAGCTATTTACTAGGATCAAAAATGTTTACATAAATACTATAACGCCGACAAAAAAAACGACAAAACTGAAAACACTTCTGAGATCGAGAGAGAGTTACCAGAATCAAAGGTTTAGTTTCATTACATTGATGATTTCCCAACCAAGCTCTAAATCTGCAACAGACCAGTTGCAACACAAGAACACAGCTTCACTACAACTGATAATCTCTGTTCGATGCATACACTTCTCTTTCAGACACACAGCCCCCTTGAAAGATCCAACCTGCAAACTGTTTTCAGCTTCATGGATCTGAGCACCAGACATTATCTCCGATATCTTTGTAGACAATTGTTTGATCAGATCAACATCATTATCTGACTCTCCCTTAGCTTTCACAGGACAACAATAAGCTAAACAGACCACATGGTTTTTCTCATGTAACACCTCAGAGACTTCATCTTGGTGAACAATCTTCGCCTTTTTGCTCTTCTCTATTACCAAAACCCCGTCTGCGGTTCTCTGATCTGTAACACGGAGCTGACTCGAGTTTGAGAATTTGAAATTCGGGCTGGAGCAGCTTTTAAGGAACATATCAGAAGCTTTTGCTTTTACAAAAGTGGTTGAAGCTACTGAAACTGTTTCACCATTGGCAGGGACAAAACAGGGGATGTCAAGCTCTGAGGTTATCTTTTCCTTTAGAGTCATCATGCTGGGTTTTTCGCCATGCACGAGTACAACGTTCTTTGGGGAGAGGAACTTCGTGAGATCCATTATTCCTTTTGCATCTGTGTGAGGACTGAAAGCCACTTGATGTATCTGATAATAGCAGAACCAAGACTTTTAAGGTGAGGTTGAATACGTAAATTTTGATGCATTCTACTTTCTTGTAAAGTTTACATATTTTTTTGTGAGAACCAGAATTAAGTATACAAACCTTGCAACGGACATCGACCTTGGTGCCATTGTAGAGATCAACTGTCGTGGGTTTACCAGCCATCAGTTTGTGCCCAACGGTCCCAGCCACAGAGTATCTGTAAAACACGGATCCACAAGGGGGATGAAAGAATATACAATTGCGTGCTAGTTGCTAAGAAAAAGAAAATGAATTCCTAACAAGGGAAAAACAAAAGCTGTAGTACCCGGGCAAGGCAACAAGATTCAACGGAGATGGAGCCCAGTGCTTGAACACCTCAAGTGAGAAGCCAGCACAAAGCATACCGGGTGTGGCAAAGAGAACACATGGCCCAGGAGCATGTATAAGAGACCGATCAAAATCTTTAACTGCAGAATGTAAAGGTAGTAGTTAGAAAGCAAGCAGAGTTGCAGAACTAAGGTAGTTATTAGAACAAAAAGAGGACGCAAAGGATGTATTGATCAAGTATAGTCACTAGTTTACAAATTTTTTATCCTTATTAATGTTAGTACGCGTACCATTCTTAAAATCAAAAGGGTTGTGTGTATTGTGCTTTTCTTTAACGTTCTGGCTTGTCCAGCTGATGAGCATTTTGTAATACATATTTGCTTGGATGGTCAAACCTGGAAAAAATCAAATTGATCTTTAGGCAATCTGCAGAAGATAGAGATCACTATTTATAAAAAAACAATCGACTTGTTGAGCTGACTAATCTGCAGAATTGGTTTTAAATGAGGATTGATTGTGATTTAACAGACCTGATGAGAAATAAATTGGAACCTTTATATTCATACGCTCCCAGTAATCATCAAGCAGCATGCAGAGTTCCTGAACAAGGAAACGCAATTGTCAAGGAGACGTAAGAGAAGCACAGACAAGTTTAAGTAACTGCTTTGTTTCAAAGCTATCACAGGGAGTCTATTCTGTAAGAAGACTGACCTGAGCCCTTCCAAGAGCAAATGAAGGAATGAGCGCCTTCCCTCCGCCAGCAACACACTTATGAACCTGGAAGAGTTTTCTGAGATATCAGACAATTACCAAACAAGCCAAAAGTGATGCCGAAATCAGAATAAAAACCATTTAAGAACAAATTTAGAAACCATGTGTTAATAGCTACAAGTAGACATACAGCTTGAAGAAACTCTCTCTCCCGGGGATATTTTGAGCCGCGAATGGTAGTTGCATATGTGGACCTAAAATGCATAGTCAAACATACATCAGATTTACTTGTTCTTACTAAGTTTGTTGAAAATTACCAGTGAACAAGCTTGTATTTGTTTTCCATACTCTGATATGAGAAGATCCAACTGGAGTCTGTCAATTTTAGCTGCTCCTAGATGTCTATCTGTTGTCATATTGTAATCTCCAGTGTACACAATTGCTGCATCTCCCACCTTCGCATAAACCATCACTGCTCCAAGGACCTTATGATTATTACAAAAGAAGCTTTAAGAATGCAGAAACTATGAACATAACAAACTTAGAAGTAAGTCAAAAGAAGTTCTCTAAAACCAAAACGAGTGTCTTACATGTCCTGCATAATAGGCACGGATTTGAAGATCTTCATCAACCTGAATTGTTTGCTTCAAATCTATCGCAATTACTACACACACAAAAAAAACAAAAGGAAACCAAGTTATAGACACTGCATCTGTATTTATGAATTAAGTCAGACATTAATCAATCAGATGAAACAAGTTCGTGCACAAAGACCTCAAATGACACCCAACATTCAAGTACCTTTTTTCATGCAGTTTGCGATATGGGTGGTGGTGAATAGCTCCTCCTCGCCTCTTCTATCCACCATCACTCTTCGGTAATCCTCAAGCATTAAAGGAGACAACGCCTTCGTGGGGTACTACAAAAGAGACAGATCACAGTAAACAACCTTTACTTTAAATATTAAAAAAAAACAAGTCACTCACACATTTCATCGAACACCTTGAGGACGATATTACTCACCGACATATAAATTGGCCCATTGTATCCACAAACCTCCGTGAAGTAAGGAAGCGCTCCAACATGATCCATATGGCTATTACGACACACACAATTATAACCCATAGGATCCCACAGAAACTAAGAAAACGACTTTAAAAGAGGGGAAAAATCCAAGGATTGAAGAATCAATACAAGTGAGTGATGATGATACAAGAGATCGCGTTATCATAATCACCGGATTTGGAGACGAGAGAAAAATCTGGGTATCGATTGTGATCATCGCAGCCCATATGCATCCCACAATCAAACATTATCCTTTTACCATTAATCGTCACCACCACGCAGCTCTTCCCTATCTCTTGCCCAGCACCTGAGAAACCCACAACGATAAGAATATTCTTATTACGAAATCATGAAACATGAAGAAGCAAATAATAAAAAAGACCACAACAAAAAAAAACTATTACCAAGCACGAGACATTCGATTGCCATGGAAGAAACAAAGAACCACAAATTCAGAAAATAATTTTGAGTTCCAAAACTCTCTAATTCAAAAAATTCTCTGTCTGTTCAAATTAGAACACGAAGTCGAGTGACCGGAGAAAATTTTGAAGGGGAAGCGAGAGAAGAAACAGAGTTAGGTCGACAAACGAATTTTAATGGCGGCAAAGTGTTCAGTACCATCGAAGTCGTTCAATATCATGCACGTGTCTGATATCTAAACGTTCATATTTTGTAGTGGAAAGCCCAATAACATGTGTTAAGATTATTCTTGCGGCCCATTATTTTTAAAAGATGAAAACGACAACGTCTCGTGTCGTTTAAGTTCTGAGGAAGAAAAGTTCGTAAAGACTAATCCCTAAATCACGAGAGAAGTGAGAGAGACTGAGACTTTGTAGTTGACCGGATCGTTCTCACTTCGCCGGCCGACGTCGGTATCTGTCTTTACAAATCCCGATCTCTCTGTCTCTGTCTTCATCGGTCAGTAACTCTCTCTCTCTCCTCTTCTGATCTTGCAAACTCTTATCAATTCGCGATCTCCGAGCTCTTCCGTTGATGAGTTATGTTTTTAGTGCAGTGACGAAAATGGCTGCTCATATCGGGATCTTCGCAGTCGTCGTAGCTGTATTCTTATCTATTTGTGCTGTTTCCTCCGCTCAGGATCTCCAGATCGTAAATGCCGAGCGGAGGGTACGATTCTCCGATCTTATCTTCTGTATCAAATTCATAAATTTCCACTTTCCTTTGTGGATCCGTTTCATATGGAAATCCAAGTGAATGATGGTGCTGTTGGGCTTACTGTTTCTCCGATCTATGCTTAGTTTGTAGAGATACTGTGTGATTTGGTCACTTCACGGTTGATCATCGATACGCTTCATAGTTCGTTCATATGTATGTACATTAGTAGATAATGAGAATCAGTAGGTTTGAATTTTCACCAGTTATACGTTTAGTTACAGTAATCTGAAAGCTTAATGATAGAAGCTGTTTGCAAAATCTTCTTGTCTGAAACTGAAGTTTTGATTCTAAAATGCTACTCTTTTGTGTTTGTTTTTGTCTACAGATTGATTTAAGCTCACATATCGTGAAGGCCTTCTTGACTCTCAAGGTATTTCTAATCGAATTTACAGTTGTAATTCCTATTGAAAATAATAAGAAGTTTGGAACTTAGAACTGGGAATTGAGGCCTTTCTGGATATGTTATATGCTATTTCAGCTTCTTTTTTCTTTTATTCACCGTGTAGTTAGGTTTTCTAGTAAAGGTTGGAACTTAATGGCTTTCATTCCCTTTTTTTCTTCATCCTCCTTGTGCTTTTCTGTTCGAAGGTGACATTTTCTTGTCTGATTTGCTTGTTAGGTCGAAAATATTGGGAAAAATCCTGCTCCAGAAATGCTTCTTGCTTTCTCACCTACCCAGATCAAGAATTTAGCTATGGTCCAAGCCCTGGCAATTACTGGCAAGAAGAAAAAGAAAACCTATTTGCCTTTGGATGTTAAACCAACTGAACAACCTGATGCACCGAATGATACTGGATACTACCGTGTTTCGTTTGCTAGCCCCTTAGGCCCGGGTGAAACTGTTTCACTTGAGGTGCTATACATTTTGACTCATTCGTTGGAACCTTTCCCAGTGGAGATAACCCAGTCAGAATCTCAGTTAGTTTACTATCATGATAGTGCAGTGATATTGTCACCATATCTTGTTAAACAACAGACAACTTTTGTTAAGACACCTAGTACTAGAGTGGAGTCGTTCACTAGCATCGAACCTGCTAACCGGGCTGGCAAAGAGATAAAATATGGGCCATATGAGAATCGTGCTTCATACTCTTACACACCTGTCATCATTCACTTTGAAAATAACAGTCCGTTTGCCGTTGTTGAGGAGCTTGTGCGTGAAATTGAGATTTCACACTGGGGTAGCCTTCAGATAACAGAAAATTATAGATTGACTCATGGGGGAGCACGTCATAAAGGTGTTTTCTCAAGGTACGTAATGGGCCTAATGACCTCTTTTATGTATGAGGTGACCTCTGGAAATTTATCTCTACGGATGAGATGTTGCAGAATTTCTATTTGTGTTTGAGCTAATTGTTAAGGTGTCATTTTCCATTACTGCAGACAAGTTTTCTCTGTCTTTGAAGTAAAACTGTCTTGTTAATTAGCTATTTGCCAATGGAGATGTTGTCCTCATACATATACTGCTTCGCTGAAATGTTTTTCTAAATCTCAATTTTGGCAGGGTTGATTATCAATCTAAACGGTCCGTCAGTGGTGCGTCCTCTTTCAATGCGCTTCTTGCAGTACTACCTCCCAGAGTGAACTCTGTCTACTACAGGGATGACATAGGCAACATCTCCACTTCACATTTGCGTACAGGCTTTAGAAAGGTAGGGTTTATTGCCCTCTTTTGGGGATCTACGGCATTTAGACAGTGATATTAGTTCCGTAGAAAGGTCTTCCAAGGCTTTAATTCACAACAGTATGCTTTTTTGAAGCGTATACCACGAAAAAAAAAGAAGAGATTTTTTCTATTCACTTTAAACCAATGAATTCTTATTAAAAAAATTTGGTGTTTGCAGTCAGAACTTGAATTTGAACCCCGCTACCCATTATTTGGAGGGTGGAGAGCAACTTTTATTATCGGCTATCGAGTTCCATTGGAAGACTATCTCTTTGAAGCATCTGATGGCAGACGTTACTTGAACTTTACGTTTGGGTGTCCGCTTGTTGAAACTATTGTTAACAAGTTGACTATCAAAGTGGGTTTAGCATTTTCTACTAATTGTTATTTCTTTCTGCTATTAGCAGATTACACTTAACAGAGGAAAATTTCTTTTCAGGTCGTGCTTCCTGAAGGATCAAAGGACCCTTCTGCTGTATTGCCCTTTACAGTCAATCAAGACTTACAGGTACTTTATCAGCCACGTAGATTGCATTTCAAATTATAATTGTTACACAACATGTATCTATAATGGTCTTTGTCTCAGGTCAAATACTCATACCTTGACATCGTGGGAAGAACCGTGGTTGTGTTGCAAAAGGATAATGTAGTTCCCACTCACAACGTACCTTTCCAGGTAACAGCAATACCTTACAGCTAGCTTTGACATATCCTCATCATGAGCCAAGTTCATTCTTTTGGTAAAGTTCTAGAAAACTGCTTAATATCTATGCAACTATAATCCGCAGGTGTACTATACATTCAAACCAATATACATGCTTGCGGAACCATTCATGCTTGTATCAGCTTTCTTCTTCGTCTTTGTGGCTTCTCTTGCCTATGTACACATTGATCTCAATATCGCCAGGAAGTAGCATTCTTACAAAATTTCCTTTGCTGTCACTTATAGACTCCTGAAAGAAGTAGACCTTTTTTTACCTTTACTTTTTATAACAAGACTTAAATTTTGTAGTTGCAGCCTTTCGTAGTTGTATCTTTGACGCCTTGTGTTTGTAATGAAGTGTTGAAGATAAGAAACTACCACACCTACATTTTAGTATGAGTCCATGATTACTTGTTCATACTATCAAAACTTACAACGTTTGTTTACGTATGAAAATATATATACAAATTACAAAATATGCTATAGTCTAGTTCATGTACTTGCCAATTTCAGGAGTTAGGTTTCGCACGCAAACCTACAATACCCAAAAACGAAAATGTTTCAATGCAAAAATTATGATACATATCCGGTAGTAACAACAAAATACAGAGTAAAAATGGCAAAAAAAAAAACAAGCATAAATTTATAACAAGTTAAGTTAACAAACTACAGAGAAAGAAAACAAGAAAAGGATTACGCTACGACAACAAAACACTGATTCTAATCTTCCTTGTCTTAAACAAAATGTAAAAAACTTGCCTTTAAAACTTTTTATCTCCATATTTTTACCATCACCACCGGAATTTAACAAGAGATTCTCACAGAACCGGATTCTTCTTCGGCCTTCCTCTTCCTCTCTTCTTCGGCGTTCCATCTGAATTAACTCCAACGTTACTACTCCTCATCGCTTCATTATCTCTCTTCCCCGTACCACCTGACCATCCATCAAAGCTAACCTGAACACTATGCGAAGACGAAGGATGAGCACCAGGTTCTGGCGTACCGTTAACATTAGGACCGGATGAGAAAACAGGAGGCATCCAATTTGGGAATTTGGCTGCATCTACTCCGTTAGCAATGGCTGCTTCTCCTCCTTTACCACCGATAAATCCCATCGGAAAAAACCCCCAACAACAATAATACTCATCTTTCCCAGGGATCAATGGAGGCAGCTGAGGAATACTCGCAGCGTGAAACGCTCTTTGACAGTTTTGGCATCTGATACAGTACTCTTGATAAACCCTAGGATACTCATGAAGACTGTAACAGTAAGGACACGCCGTCCAAAACGTAGCCATCTTCTCATTTGTTGTCTTCTTCCTCTGACTCTGACTCGCTCTTTGACCATTGAGATCTACTTTGGTGAAGATGAGATTCAAATCCCGATCGAATTGAGATTTCTTCGAAGCAGTTGATAGAACCTCCCATGCATCGAGCACGAATCTGAAAGCTTGATCGGCGAAAGGGAAACGGTTTTTGTCAGGGTGGAGGAGAAGAGCGAGGCGACGGTATTGTTTCTTTATAAGATCGTTGTCTGTTGAAGACTCCTCTGGATCTTCGATCTGGAGGATTTTGTACCAGTTTGGTTGGTTTTTGACGAGGTTCTCTGGCGCAGATGAGAGCAAGACATCGACGACGGCGAGTATTTGATCGGTGCCTTCGAGGAGTGGCTCTGTCTCTTGAGCTAAGATTGCAAACTCTTTTGAACCGCTCAGATCTCGTGACTCTAGAAGCTTCTCTGCGATTCCGAGAAGCCGTTCGGCTTCTGCTCGGTTTGCGTTCATCTTCTTCTTCTTTCTCGTCCGATTTCAAAGCTCCCCCTTTTAGCTATGGCGGAGAAAATGGTGAGCAGATCTATTTTATCGAGAAGACGATGAACCAGGCTCTGATTGGCTGTGGTTAAAATTGATATATTGTACCAGAAAAAGTAAGAAAAAAAACAAATTGTAATTAATTCTGATACTAACGTTATAATATAAATATAATTGTATTGATTGCTTGTTATAAAAGACACGATCCATAACCATTTCAAGGAACATATCAGTATGTTCATTTACTCAAAATGATGCAGAAAACATTTGGAATTTTCGACTATAAGATGTTAGCTTTTTACGAGTGTATGAAGAGGGGATTTAACGGATATTTGATGTTTTTTTTTTTTTTTTGTCGACTCAAGAAAAATGTTTATGGCACTATCGGTAGAGAACTTTCCGCTAGAGAGAGCCAACTAGGGGCCGAAGTGCTTATATGGGAGAAAAGAAAATTTCGGGTTCGCGCCTTTTTAGTCAGGAGGTCCCCCGAGAATTTGATAGACGGGGAATATAACGAAGACGGAAGGAGGAGTAGCGGCTCTTGATTGCTTGAAAAGAGGCTAATTCTGCCGCAAAGGTAAGCCAGTCCAAAGGGCTTTTATTTAGAAAGCAGGGTTACTTCCACTTCTTCATCGAAATTGTATTCAATTTCCTTTATTTGTTTCAATGGTTGTATTTGAATAGTTCTTGTATCATGTACTTTTGTTTATGATCTAATATAATAGTTTCGGTGTTAAAAATATATATATGTATATATATATATATAATTGTATTGAAACGGAAATGGATATTGCAGAAATGATACGTTTCAAAACGAAATGTAATTTTTTGTAATTTTTTTTTGAAAATATATGTTTCCAAGAGTTTCTGTTTCTGAAATGTTTAAAAACGAGAAACGGATCATAAAAAAAGTTTTCAAGTAAACGATGAATTAATATTAATTCAAGTAAAAGAAACTGCTGAGTGTCATCATTAATATTAGACGATTTTGGAGTTTCTTTCATGAGAAGATAGGCAAGAGTCATGCCACTCCGCATTTGATGATGGGTTGCGATATTGGTTATAAATGCTAAAATTACTTTAAGTTCTTTCACTCAAACTTTTGTTCTCTTAGTTGCACTTGTTGTAGAAAAGATTTCTTGATGAATATATTTTTACATTCATATAAAAAAATAGCTAAAAATGAAAATTTTATAATTTTGGGATTCATTCTAGAGAGAAAAAGAAAAAAAATATTTTGGCGAATGAAACTTAAATCTCAAAAGTGTCGTGAAAATTGATTTCTCTATCGTTCTTTTTATTGATTAGTTATGTTTTGGGGATGTGTATTTGAATTGGCTTTAATACCAATAATATCTCTAATGTATTAACTCTTGTATAAGATTATGAATCAATGAGTAAAGGAGATGTTAAACCAAAAAAAAAGTAATTTTCTTTTTAACTGTAAAACTACTATAGGAAGTATGATTGAAAATAATAGTAGGTGTATAAAGAGAAAGATTCTTTTCACAAAGAAATGGTTTTTTCTTATAAATAATTTTTAAAAAATTTCTTAATAAGAGTTGTAATAAACATTTAGAGCAGTATAAATATGTAAAGAAGCCAATGAAGAACCAAAATCCAAAATTATGAAAAATAGGACTCTAGTAAAATGCCGATATTACCCATGTTGATATGTTCCTTTCACAAAGGGTGAACTTGTCATTTACGACAGTGATCACGCACTTTTCACTTGTCTTCTTTATCAGTTTTTTTTTTCTTTTGGCTTTTTTAAATACGTCAGTTGTGTGTTTCATTTTTACTTAGAAAACCAAAAAAAATCCACTAAGGATTAAGGGAAAAATAATAAAAAGTAAAATAAAAAAAAATAATCAGAAATTTGTTTTTGCAGAAATCGAATTCGAGAAACGGAGTAACTGGTAGCCACAGATGAGTTCATCGTTTTTGACCAGATCTGATTGTTTTCGTCTTTGACGTTGAATAATCAAATCCGCTCTTCTTCTCCGATCGCGATTTTTGGTTTCTCGCTCTCTGTTGGTTTTTTTTTACTCCGAGAGAGAGAGAGAGAGATTTTGGTTTTGGTGGATTTCATCTGGCCAGACCAGTCATGTCAGACGCTCTTTCTGCGATTCCGGCCGCTGTTCATCGCAATCTCTCCGATAAACTCTATGAGAAGCGCAAAAATGCTGCCCTTGAGGTTTCAATCGCAATCTCTCTTTTGCGTCTTAGGGTTTTTCTACTTGTCTCTTTCAATTGGTTTCTCAGGTTGTTGTTTTGTTCCCTTTCATTTTTTTCTTGTAGCTTGAGAATATCGTGAAGAATCTAACCTCTGCTGGTGATCATGACAAGATCTCCAAAGTCATTGAGATGTTGATTAAGGAATTTGCCAAATCCCCTCAAGCTAATCATCGAAAGGTCTCCCACTTTGTATTGATTGCTTTAGCATTTTTGTTTACTTAGATCCGAGGGGTTTTCGATTTCCCTTTGTGAAAATTGCTTTGATCATTGGGCTTCTTTTGTATAATATATAGGGTGGTCTTATTGGCTTAGCTGCTGTTACAGTTGGTTTGTCTTCAGAAGCTGCTCAATATCTTGAGGTATATATATATATGGACTGTCAATGTTCAAACATATGCACTATAACACATAGTTAATCTGCTCATAGTAAGATTTGAAAGCTATGATTTCTGTTATCTTTTTCTATGTATTAATCCATCTATGGTATTAGTTTACTTTCTTTCTTGGATCGTAGGATGTTTTCTAATTTTTCTTTTTGATTCATGATATGTGAAGCACATAGTGCCACCTGTGATTAATTCCTTTTCTGATCAAGATAGCCGAGTTCGGTACTATGCATGTGAAGCTCTCTATAACATTGCAAAGGTAATGATTTTACTAGTATCCATGTGTTTCAGTTCATTCTTCTATGCGAAATTGCCATTGATGCACTATTGCCATTTATTCTGGTTTACTACAGGTTGTGCGAGGCGATTTCATTATTTTCTTCAATAAGATTTTTGATGCCTTATGCAAACTCTCAGCAGATTCTGATGCCAATGTCCAAAGTGCTGCTCATCTTTTGGATCGCCTTGTTAAGGTATGGACAGTTCTTTTCTTAACACATGTGTGGTATTTTGATTTAAAACATTATGCTGAATAGAGTTAATACCTTGTAAAGCAGGATATTGTGACGGAAAGTGATCAGTTCAGGTGTGTCTAGTTAGTTTTTTTTTTTTTTTGTCTGTGTATCTTAAATAAATCTGTCACAATTAATTTTAGTTGACCCCTTTTTTGGGATTTGGATTTTTGCAGTATTGAGGAATTTATACCTCTTTTAAAAGAGCGCATGAACGTTCTAAACCCGTATGTTCGGCAATTTCTGGTAGGATGGATCACTGTTCTTGATAGTGTTCCAGACATTGATATGCTTGGGTTTCTGCCAGACTTTCTAGATGGTAATTGCACTTTGCTAACTTCATTTCGATGTATGTGACTGCATTCAAGTTTAGTTATGTGTCAGCTGACTTAACTTGTTAATGAACTTCCAGGTTTATTTAATATGTTGAGCGACTCTAGTCATGAAATACGACAGCAAGCTGATTCAGCTCTTTCAGAGTTTCTTCAAGAGATAAAAAATTCACCAGTAAGAGCTCTGTTGTGGCCTTATCTTTTGTAAAGGGAATTTTTATGTTTCATTGGTACATTACTGACTAGAGCGGTGCTACTGTTGAAGTCTGTAGATTATGGTCGCATGGCTGAAATACTGGTGCAGAGGGCTGCTTCTCCTGATGAATTTACTCGATTAACAGCCATCACGTGGGTAAGCATAAAAAACCACGCTTCTGCTTGGCCTCTTCCAGTTACATATATGGGTAGTACTTTGACTTCTAAGAATGTCTGCTTATTATTAAATGTGTTTGTGTAGATAAATGAGTTTGTCAAACTTGGGGGAGACCAGCTCGTGTGTTATTACGCTGATATTCTTGGGGCTATCTTGCCTTGCATATCTGACAAAGAAGAGAAAATCAGGGTGGTAGGTTTGCTTCTCCTTCCCAGTGATGGAAACTGTAGGTGTATGCAACTTTTCGCTTTCTTTATTTTTTTAACTTTTATTTGCATAAGGTTGCTCGTGAAACCAATGAAGAACTTCGTTCAATTCATGTTGAACCCTCAGATGGTTTTGACGTTGGCGCAATTCTCTCTGTTGCGAGGAGGTTAGTTTTCTCTATCTTTTTTTTTACTTTTTATCAAATCTCGCCTGTTTTTGTGATTTGTGAGTTTTTGCATTGAGCAGGCAGCTATCAAGTGATTTTGAGGCTACTCGGATTGAAGCATTGAATTGGATATCAACACTTTTAAACAAGCATCGTACAGAGGTAAAGAACTTGGTTTTGTTTTGGGCATCATTATTTCAAGTTATCCTTTTGTTTGTCGCAATATAACTAAATTGGTAATCTTGTGACAGGTCCTGTGCTTCCTGAATGACATATTTGACACCCTTTTAAAAGCACTATCTGATTCTTCTGACGACGTAAGTTTATTTCTCTGACTGTTTGTTTGATTGGTTGGTGATATTTGTGTCATATAGGTTTGGTTTTAACTGGTAATGAACTTATTTGATACTTGAACTATCTGGACTTGAATATGTACTTTAGGTGGTGCTCTTGGTTCTGGAGGTTCATGCTGGTGTAGCGAAAGATCCACAACACTTTCGACAGCTCATTGTATTTCTAGTCCACAATTTCCGAGCTGATAATTCTCTTTTGGAAAGGTTAGTTGCATCTAATAATCTGTTTTTATGTTTCTGTAATTCTGTAAAGAACATATTATTTAGTTGGCCAAAAAATCCTCGTTATAGGCGTGGTGCCCTTATCGTCCGAAGAATGTGTGTACTTTTGGATGCCGAAAGAGTCTACCGAGAGCTTTCTACAATTCTGGAGGGAGAAGATAATCTTGACTTTGCTTCTACCATGGTTCAGGTATATCTCCTTTCCTAGATTTCTTCAATTAAGGAACGTTTTTAAAGGTCAATACAGTAAGTTGATTGGTTTTGTCTGCGTGTTTTTTGAGCGTTGGCTGGCTGTTTCGATTATGTTTTTCTCACTTTGATGTATTAATCGCTAGAGTGTCTTTTTGTTTTATGT